ATCAGACTTCGAGACTCTCAGCTAATGATACAAAATGATGACCAAGATACAGGGATCGTAGAGAAAAGATGAAACTAAAATAATGAAAAATTATGTTAATCATTTGCCCAAACTAAAAATGAACTTAAACAACTGGACTGATATTTGGCGAGGGTCTGGCTTCACTTCAAATGGAGCATGTCAAACATAAATTGTTACATCTTACAATTCACATAATATTTTTAAAAAGTTAACAGCAGGCAGTATTCAACATTTCTCATGGATTTGATAGCTTAATTAATAACTTATCGTGTACTTGTAAATTGGAGTCATTCTTTAAATTTCATAATTTAATGATATTTTCTGTTACACTTAATATTTTTGCACATTTTGTGAATACTTGGAAAACATACATTTTAGACCGATATTATTAGAACTTTATGATTAACCCTCGTATACACAATATACATTCTAGGCTCTGCGAAGAAACATTTAGTCTTGCTTCAAGACCCCCCCCCCGGAACGCTGCGGTTGTTGGAGTAAATAAGGGGGTCCAGGGTCTTGAAGCAAGTCTAGGAGATATTTATCAAACATTAGAATATCGTTATTCATAATGTATTGCCGTTTATGGTTGTCCCGCCTGAGTTTGTTTTGCAAAGTATTAAAACATTTTAGCGCATCTTGGAGATCAATCAATTTATAGTTTCCCTACTGTCAAAAGTAAAAACAATCTTCTCTGCTGAATGCATGCGATTTATGCATCGATCTAGTTCCATAAAGCCAAATTGAAAAGAACATTCAGTTGTTTCGCCACATCATTTGACAAGTTTAGTCCTTCAAATTGCCATTTTACAGCTGCTTCGGTTCAAAAGGTTTTTGGGGGAATCAAACGCAAGCATACATATATATTAGTACTATATTATCCATGTTTTATTCCATATCATGCGATAAAGATGTCAAAACGAGGCTTTAAATATACTCTCTACCCGAGATTTTGTAGCGGAGTTCACCAGTTTGTAATATTATAATTATATGTGTTTGTATCTCAAAACGTTATGAGGACTTAATCTTAGATTTCCAAGATTTGGATTTAGATTTTTCATTGAAATCTCATTGGATAACAAGAATGATCATGACCTTGCTTACAGTGAACAATGTCGTCACTTTTCTCATCTAATCGTGTCAGGCTTTGATCTGACCACTCCAATCCCACACCGAGTGCTAATTAACTATAAAAAGACAACATCGAAGTAAATGTGCCTCAAAGAAGAGGCGGCCAACTTGACCATGACTAAAAAGCTTTTCTTGTCATGATTCTTTCCGGAGCCGATCTTCAATCGTTATACTACTTGCCCTTCCAAGTCATTGTGTGGTAAACAAGGCATCTCATTGACAGAGGATCTTATGTTGCGCGGAGGCAGAATATCCGAATGCTGTGTGCCTCTCTATAGCAAATCATGTCTTGCTGGCAACATTTGCCGCCTTTTTTATATATATTTTGCAAAACAAATAGAATGAAAACTTGTAACATGACACAATTACATGTTTTCTTATTGTTGATAGGATTTGGTTGAGGAAGTTAGGTAAGAATGCAAGGTCTGGGTTTCAGGCTAATTGGGAACTGAAATACAATTTTGATATTTCGCTCTACCTTTCGACATCTTTGCAAGTTCGTAATCAATATATAGCAATATGAAATTCATGACATATTAATGGGGGTTTTCCACATTATTGAAGATGAATGTATACAATAAATAAATGTCACAATAAGAATAGAGAATTATGAATATTCGGCTCACTTAACAAAGCCAGGAGAAAAACAATTGAATTTCATTGAAAGGCTATGACAAAATGCAAAAGTTCTATTCTTCTGTCTTGTCCAATCAAACGAACCTACGGGATCGATGCGATTCAAGATGAGAAAGCCTCTGCATGATAAATCGGTTTGTGATTGTTATGTAGCAAGATATTTTCTTTATGTAAATCTGGTCAGTTCTCAGAACTGATCATTCCTTGACAGTATGTAAAGAAATGACAAAGAATATGACTGTCAGTTCTTATAACAGTATATAAAGGAAATGACGCAGAATGTGTCAGCTTCTACAAATTCAGTGCCATTGTTCTGAATATAGTAAACATTTACTAAAAGTCACAAACGTCAAATATCTTTTCTTTGCAACATTGATTTTTGAAATTACGTTTACTGTGTACATACATTGCCCCCTGATACAGAATCAAGAAACCGCTTTGAAGAACCAGCAATGGCGATGAACTTACATTCCGACCGGAGGCCATGTCAGATCTGAATGGATATATGTATTATGTTAGAAAAACTGATTCAGAGAAACACCTTCAGCTGCTATTTAAGCCGTATATTACCAAAGGGAATGCACATTCTTCAAATATTTTATATCATATAGGTATAATATGTACTAACAATGATGTGTAAAAGCATGATTATCTAAGTTTTTCCCCATCTGTTACACAATGAAAGTTCCCAAAGCTTATCTCAAGGTTCTCATTACTAAGGAACTGAAAACCACGTATTGATATTTTGACGGAAGATTCGAGTATATTTTCCTTGATTGATTCATTTGAGGGTGTATAAATTTATTCATGAGGTCTACATTCAAAGGAGCATCCTTCAGTCCGTTCTTCATATATTCCACAGGGATTAGGAATAGTAGAGGCAACTTAAGCAACTTATCAAACCGAAATTGGCATTAGCAAATGTAGAATTCATCGAATAAGTACTTTTAATAATTTTATGACGTTTGAGTATCTGATGATAGTTGGGACCAAATATGGTATTAGTAAGACTAGCTCCTTGTTGGATTAACATTTTCCATTCTAGATATTATTAATTTTGTCTAAATGCTATGGCATGGGTGCGGGATAGCTAACTCTCTCTTGTGTAAAATCTGTATTGGCTTAGAGGTTAATACTATTCTAGTAATACGTTACCAGTGGAATGGGGTTCACTTATTTGTTGATGTAAATGTAATTTGTCATATTCATTGCTTTTTATATCGCATATATTACACATAATGTACTTTATATATACACGTTGACTAACGTAATTGAATTGAGGATTCATCAAATAACTCAAACTATTTCGGAAAAATAATCTTGGATTTGGACCTGCACAACCCCTGTGCCGGTTGCTGCCTAAAAAATTATTCCAAATTCAGATTCAGTGGAGGTACATGACGCACGATGTTCACACCCTATTTCGGTATTAAATGGCAAATGCTCTCTTTACATAAAAAGAACATACCTATTGGAGATTCATAATTGGTTACCATGGCGATATCACCGCTAGGGCTGTTATGAAAAATTACTTATGTCATATCCGAAATCTTACTCAATCATCGTGGCGTTTAGATAAGACAAAAGTATGTCATATGTTGCAGCATAATCACGAACACACACGCTGTTTAGATAAGACAAAAGTATGTCATATGTTGCGGCATAATTACGAACACACACGCTGGTGGAAATATCTTACTAATGTGATGTGCTATTTAATCCATCTTGCAGATATATCTTAATATACTCTGACGGTTCATTTTGTGTTGCAAGCAAATATTTTCGATATTTAACCCTAATGTCTGCAGGGGTCAATCCGACCCCCCCCCCCCCGTCTCGATTTTTTCAAGAATCGAGTTGAAATTTTATAATTTATGAGGGATATGATTTTTATCCATGAAATGATATGATATCTGCACGAGTGAGTGTATCAAAAAATTTGAGTTGATAAACAATCATATCATGAGTAATCATAGGAAAGTGTTTTTGTCATAGTTAATAGATACTTGTCAAGTTTTAAGACCTGGAATTTAAACAACCGTGCCAACTCATTTAATTTTTACTATAAGCCTCATTTTGAGTCAAGTAGCAAAAATCCGTTAACCATACGATCTGAAAACCGTATTCGGTGGTTTAGTGAATGTTTGCAAAAATCACACTACCATACCCCCATACTGCAGCCTGTATTTCTTTTAAAGTGATACAGGCTACAGTGAAGTTACAAATGGAGCGGGTATTCTCTATCTATGCTTTTCTGGTAAATAATACAATGCAGAATCCTCGATGAATCTACTCAATGTATAGTACAGAAAAAGTAGTATACCTTCATGAATATTATGGAAATAAACAAACGTCCTCCAATTGCAGCGTCACTGCAGATTGTATCCCTTTTAAAGAAATACAGGCTCCAGTATAGGGATAAGGTAGTGTGAAAATATGGTATTGTTTCACTGGTTACAAAATGCCGTTTTAATTTTGACATGAAACGAAAACTGTCTTAAGTATTAATCACAGTGACTATGTAAAATATATGACTTTTGTATACTTTATATATTTTCAGGCCGCTGGTGAACCTGAATATGCACGATCTGAAAAGGACGCCTCAACATGGAACAACCAGCGGCGGATCACAGTCACTCTTCACAAACTTCGAGGATGTCCAGGTAAGATTGGGAGGATTAGATGCAGAAATGTTCTTATTCATTAGAATTAGAAAATTGGCTCAGGGGAATACCACTCTTTCAAATCTGCCCAGTTTTCTTGAAGTTTGAAGGTATCTGTGGCATTGGAATGTCTTTGCGCAAAAAATCCTGGAATGAAAACGACCAGTCGGCCATTGTTACTGTAATGCTCATTATGAGGTGAATTCAGGGTCGTGATGTTATGATGGTGAAGGTCGCTTAATCATAGGCAATATTGTGAGGATTAGATGAAGAAATGTCCTCATTCATTAGATTTGAAAATTATCTCAAAGAACTCTTTCAAATATGACCTTTAGAAATGGCACAATATCGACGAAATGTTTTGAAATGCTTATTTAAAGGTACATATGCAAAATGATGTACCGAATGCATTTCTATTTCTATTATTTACAATAATACATCCAATGGCCTGTATTTGAAAAAAATCTAAAATTTATTTTTCAACTCAAATCACACTGTTATACCACTGAATCAAAAATCGATAAGATATTTGTGACTTTTGATCTAAGAATAAAAAGCTTTACATTGTTGAGATGATAATAAAGGAATACACCTTCCAGGTATATTGTATCTGATGAGTTATTGGGTGCAATAGCTCTTTGAGAGTTTACCTCGTACAACCATATCGTTATCATGGTTTCACTTTAAATACACTGCATTATAACCGTACCATTTTACCTTCGTTGCCAAAGTGAGCTACATTTTATACTGGCGTATCCAGGGGCATGAGGGGGGCGTGAGAAATACACACGATTCAAAAGGGAAATAACCCTTGGCCTTACACTGATCCTACTGTGCCCGTAGCGTACAATGTATTATACAAAATGTAATGTCAGTCTTTTTAACTCTTTTGGAATTTTGCATAATAATAGACAGACTTGAAAAATATATAAATGGCCTTGTATCTTGGGTTTATGGTTATATTATAGTTTATCGATATATTTATAATGTCAATGCAGAACGCTATAAATTGATGTAGTATTCTTAGCAGAACAAATCCTACTTTGTTTTTGAATAATCTAGGTTGCATCTTGTAATTAAATATGATCGAATATATTTATCATCTCTGTTATCACACATTCCATCGGTTTCCCCTTGCTGTACACTCGGTCATTTCTCTTTTTCTTTTTTTCTTATTCAAAATGATCACTTATATGAGGAGTCACGTCATGCGACTGATTTACTTTTAGGTAATAGCGAAACTAAATTAACCCTCGTGTTTATCTACTATCAAGAATATATTGGTGAAATAAAAACTGGAAAAATTGACAACTTTGAATTTTTCGAATTCTACATAGCTCGATCAAGTGAATTTTGTTGTATTTCGTGGAATACCTGCGTCACTTCACGAGAAATTTAATTTCCCATTACCCTCTGAAGAACGAACATTTTTGATTGTAACAGGGGTGTATTCTGATTGAATAGCGTGAAAGGTGAGGCAAAAATTTGGCTTAGTTTCACGGTTTCTATTAAAAATGTCAGCATTTTGTGGGAAGTATACAATTAGATATCATGTCGAAGTTAATCCAATGGGTCATTGTACAAATTTGATCTGATGAAATTCTCAATCTAAGATTCGGATAGTAAATCGAGTATGCTATGTGTACAATGTTGATATATCTTCCTCGAATGATAATTTTTCAATTCATTTTATTTTGATAAAGCAAGAGGACATAATATTGTACCGATGACTTATCTGCATGTTCACGGTCATTTTCCAGTTTGATTTTGTGGACTTAAAAACTCATATTGGGTATTCATATCTGTAGATAATACCTAAAAAGGAAATTGTGTAAATAGTTTCAATTTCAAATTCAAAATTGGCCGTTAACTCCGCTCCGCTCGCAAATGAGAATACGCACTAAGTTTTCTTCAGGCAGCATCGCCTACATACATGAGGGCGATAACTCAATCGTGTATTTAGCATCATTTGGAAACTTAATCAATTCATAGATGGCACCACGTTATGGCCGATGGTTACGAGTAAATGTTGGGAGATCACTACAGCCGTGTGCTGTCCTATGTCTGGATAAGCGGATGCATCTATGATATTCCAAATTTGTTAATTGCTTCTTTTTATTTATTAGCATGGTATAACTAAATACATCATGCAATTAATCAAATGATTTGGGTTAAATAGTTGTTTATCGTGGCAACATAGGCTACCAATGCAGGTAAGGAACCAATCCCACCAACTCACAGCTGAACAAGTAATGCACTTTCGGTACATTCGTAACAGGTATTCATCGTGAAGTATTGCTTTACGTAAAAGTGTCCTTTATGATTCAGTATGTACAATACACGGTATATTGAAATGAAACGATACAGATTTTTAACTGATACATTAGTCTTGTGGTGTGATTACTTCCCCATTTCGTCTATCCTACTTCATGTTTCCAATTCAGTGAATATAATACGATCAATTGTTGAAAACTAGCCATGAGATCATTGACAAATTGAAATGACATTTTCTTGAGAGCACTTTATTAGCGGTGCGTTCGAACAAGGTCGGTCTAACCCAGAATGACTAAACCTTGTCCAAAATCAGATCCATTTTTGCATTCCTGTTAATCATATATTCTTATAAGAATGCGAAACGAAGTCCATGGAAGAAAGTAAATGCAAAATAACATAGATTTTCCAATCTGAGGTTTAAGATATTCTGGTTATCCCGATCTGCAAATGTAAATTGTCTAGTCTGAACCTTGAATAGGATAATCTTTATATATTTCCTTGCCCTTCTGCTTTTCGATCAATTGGAAATTGCAATATCGCAACCATGTCGTTTTCGACCTCTAACCAATAAAGTGAAAAGCATATCTATTTTTGGCCAAAATGGTAGGGAAAACCGTTTCACTGATCACGTTCTTAATACTAAGTTTTAATACTAAACGTCCAATGTCATATTCCTAACTCGGGAGATCGACACGTAAATTGACCTGCTTCTGCCACTAACAACAAAAAGAGATTGGTTTTGTGGTGAGAATGATGTTATTTTGACAACCCAGTCTTTCTAAGCACTCCTGGGTTACCCTTTGCGTTCGTTCGACTTCGCTTCTTAAGAGAGCTTCTTCTAGACTTTGCGAGCAGGGTATCCTGGGTCGGTTGCTTCATTTTGTACATCGTTTGAGCAAGATCATTCCCCGTTCGTGCAGTACAACAGCACCTTATAACAAAAATGGACTGGTTTTCGGTGAAATGAAGCATTCCGATAAGTTACCTTATTTTCTTTATCCCTCCTTTCTTCAGTCGCTTGTTATAGAATTCCTTATTCCTCGCCCTAACCTTGACATACATCTAGGATAATAAAGAGCCAGGGGATTAATGTTTATATGGGGCATATAAATGGTATCAGGTAAATCCACATTGTTTACTACCTGACTGATATTGAGAAGGTTTGGGTTAACTAGTCCATGATATATTCTGCGATAAGTAAGTGTTTATAGGTGCAATACTCAGTACATTTTCATAGTCGATGTAAAAGCCATCTTTTATGTGAAGTTCTATCTATTGAGATATATTCTTCTTTGATAACACGGCCTTACAACGCCAAATAAGTCACTTGTTGCAGTCAGTACAAACTACAAATACTGTTCTGTATCTGTATAGACTAGGCTAAGGAATTTCAAGTTCCCGTGGTTCAGTACCTACTGGGGTTTAGACTTCATAAACTGCCGTAGTTATATTTCTAGCCTACCCTGAATATCAATTGAATTTGAAAATAAAATTCAATAAGCCTGTATAACAATTTCAGAAGATGCGATTAAGTTTGTTCACGAAATATTGATATAATAGGTTGCGAGGTCTGTGTAAAACGACGACATAACGAAGAAAGAGCCCGGGTGCCAAGATGTATCCATTAAACAGTTTCTTATCATAGATGATTTATTTGTATGGGATCAATTGATAATGTTCATTATGGAGCACTGAGAGTGACATTTCTATTACGACTATCAAATGAAAGTATTCGCGTAGCAGCTCATTGGAAATTAAAAATGTGCTTCATCAAGACTTTTAAACGAATATCCCTCAGTGGACTCTACAAGCACCGACGCCTGGAAGACGACCATCTTTGTGGTGTCATAAATCAGACCACTCTCCATTTGGCGTAATAAGCTTAAACTCAATTTGCATAGAAATAGACGTCCGTAGTATTTCCGTCAACGTGGTGTGAAAACAATCGAGACGAGTAAGGGCAATTTAGAAGGAGACCATTAACATTTATGGGCAATGATTACGAAGTACGAAGGGATAAAGAGAAGCCGATTTCGTTCGGCCGTCCGTTCGTTCGCTTGTGTGTCCGGGCGATATAAGCCTTAAGTGTAGCACCTCTGTTCATGAAAGGATTTTCAATATACTTCTCAATTAAAATTGGCCGCCATTTTTCGTTAAATGTAATCTATGATAATTGAAATAAAGGCGGTTTGAAAATTTTCTAAAAATACTTCGAACATTATTATATTAATATCTAGCATGTCAACCCACATCATAGGCTGTTATTTCACATCAGAGATAAAGAAATGTTTAAGTGCTAACATCGATCAAAACATCACAACGACGTGTGGTATTCGGAAACTAGCCGGTGAAAATTCGAACAATCGAAGGTGGTAAACAAGAGAGGAAATTATGTCTGTCACCTCCATAGCTCTGTAGTTTTCCCTCCTCTTGCTCAAGAAGGAATTTTCAAGATGGCAGCTAGCTGAATTTCAAAATGACAGCCATTTTGCATAAAACGTAATCTTTGATAGCTCAGATACTAGTGGACGGATTTTTTAAAATTTTATATGTTGATTAATAAAGATAGGCTAAAGGAGCTCTGTCCAAGAAGAAATTTTCTAGATAGCAGCTCAATTTCAAAACGGCCGCCTTTTTCGTAAAAAAACTTTTAAACTCAATCACCAGTGCATGGATTTTGTTAAAATTGTTTGTGATGATATCAAGGAACTAGGGAGCTTTGTTCAAGAAGAAACTTTCAAAACATGTTTTTATTCGGTCTGATTTGCTAGTCCGTGGGGTTGCTGTTTCCTCTTAGTGTAGCACGAGCATCGTGATAAACCATGACATCTCAGTTCTTCCAAGCCCATGTTTCAGGTGAAACAGAAAGATGCTATGAGTATCAGAATGTAGCATGAGAACTATGCAAATTGTTGTGCAACAAATTAAAGAGAGTCAATTCTTCCAAATGTTTGAAAAGCAGTTTATCACAAAGTCTCGCTAATCTTTGAGTGAAGGAACACTATGCCTCATCATCAGATCATCACGACCGGCAATCTCCTTACATTCTTTAACTTTCTTATCTTGTGATCATAACGCCTTTATTGTGTTCTAAACACAGGCCCGTAGCTAGGGGGTTCAAGTATGGTTGGCCTATTAGTATAAAGAATGCATGCGTTGTTTACGGGTGTGTAGGCGTTAATTACGCTCGTGTAGATGTAAAATTACGCCCGTGCTGACGAAAAATTACGCCTGTGTAGGCGTAAATTACGCCCGTGAAGAAGTAAATTCTACGGGCGTTCAGAATACATTTACAGGCGTGAACTTACGGCGTTAAAATTATTAATTACGGGCGTTAAGACTGTTATTTTACACGCGCTGAGAAACATCTTCACGCCCGTGGAGTTTATTTTTAGCGCCGTAAATTATGAACCAATCAGAACCTTACTTACATGATGATTTAATGCATCCTTGCTAAAAGAGCAACTCCGAGATACTTGCGCTAGTAAACAACAATCAGAAGCCTGCTTACATTTTAGTGTGTTGCATTGAGGTCCTTAAATATTCGTTCAAGATTGAACTAGATTTAACCAAAGAAGTATTCATTTTTTAGAGCAAATTATATTAAAAGGCAAATTGAAGAGACATGTACTGTGTTGGCAGTTATCAACACCCATTGTAGAAACGACAAAATTGCAGAGTATTTTGAGAAGGTATGCATGTTTGGTTTCTAAATACGATGATTTTTGGATAATTCTCCAATCTAGGCGTCGGCTTCAGAGGTAGGCTAGGTAGGGACTTATTAAGCTCACACGCATTGCAGCTAACAGTCTCATTATACAGTCAGATCGCTAATGTATCCCTCTAAAGGATGTGTCCAGATACTAGAATTATAGTATCTGATCAACTGCAAATTGACTCTAGACTATATCCTGCAGATCTGGCATTTTTTGAAAATGTACTGAAAATGTCAAATGAGCCTATATACCTAGTATACCTAGCCAACATATGTTCAAATTTGGTGTTAGGGAGATGTGTACTTTTTGGAATCTTTATGCAGCCGTCTTTATATGTCACATGTTATTTCCAGGAATACATAACTCATTTAATATACGATGTAAATCTTTCACATTTGCACAAATAGTGCACCGAGATACCCAGAAAAGAAATAATATTTCATATGCCTCCAATTGCAACAGTTGTTCCTGGCACAATCATGAGTATGTTATTAACTTGCACAAGGATCTTGGAGTTGTACTTTTAGCTATAATGCATCGTATCATCATGTAAGCAAGATGCTGATTGGTTCATAATTCACGGCGCTAAAATGAACTCGACGGGCGTGAAGATGTTTCTCAGCGCGTGTAAAATAACAGTCTTAACGCCCGTAATTAATAATTTTAACGCCGTAAGTTCACGCATGTAAATGTATTCTGAACGCCCGTAGAATTTACTTCTTCACGGGCGTAATTTACGCCTACACAGGCGTAATTTTTCGTCAGCACGGGCGTAATTTTACATCTACACGAGCGTAATTAACGCCTACACACCCGTAAACAACGCATGCATTCTTTATACTAATAGGCCAACCATAGTAATTAACGCCTACACACCCGTAAACAACGCATGCATTCTTTATACTAATAGGCCAACCATACAGGAGTTGCGGGCGAACTCTCCCTTGCCAAAATGTAGAGACAATGAACCCCGCTTGGAAAAGCGGCTACGGGCCTGACACATACCTCAAATAACATTACACTTGCCTTAAGGCACCAAGAAAAGTATAAATTCATTTTCGTCAAAATATGATAAAGACTTCATTATTACATGTTTTGTTCATATTGCTCTTGCCACTAGTTCTTTAATTATGAGACTTGTTCTCTGAGAATATTAGGCTTGGAAGCCTCCAAAACTCTACAACAAAAGGGAATCGGGAATCGGGAGCAGGCGTAGACCTGGACTTCATGCAATACTTGTTCGAGAGAGAATAGAAAATTGCTAACGCATGGGTTTGGAGAAAAAGTTGTGTCTTAGAAAAAGAACACGAGTGACATGTTGGATTCATCTAATTACTTGTATTTGAGAGAGTCAATACTGGGAAAGGTTGAAACAGAGTCTTGATGAGAGAGCTATGTTTAAGAAAAACAATGTGGGTGTCATATGGGAATGGTATAGGACGTGTATAGATCATTGTATGAGCGCGACAAAGGTTTTAATTAGGTATTTGAATTGAGTGCATTTCCTTTCGACGTAATTATCTACAACTCAACCCAATTACCATGAACTAATCACATGTTTATCTTGTAAAAATCAAAGATGTACATGTAGCAAATGTACCTGTGAGAGATCTCTCTAAAGAATACTTATTCGCTGGTTTTATTACCTTATAATGTGCAGCAATGCCATTAAAATGTCAGTATAGTGGAACTCTGATCATTTTTAATGTCTTTATCATCTCTCTGATTGTGAATAATACCATCACTGAAATGTATATTGCTTAAACAATTCCCAGTAACAAATTATCATTGGCCAATGGGGAGTTATATTCCTGATGCCATCCCGTTATGTGTAGTTAATAACTACTAGTTATGCAAGACCTAAAACTAAAACTACTGAGTAAACCTATTTTTTAATTCAGGCATGACTTAGCTTAGCCCGTCTATAAAAATCTAGATATTTCAACGTACATTTACCTTTTCGTGCATTATTTGAGACGCCTCATATGTCTTCGGACGAGTTTTGAGGAAGGACCAAATCTCCAATTTGTGCATAAAATCATATTTTCACAACCCTATGTCTAAGTTGTGAGTAATCGCAAAGAAGGTCGCAGTAAAGATGAAAATGAAAATTCTCTCCCTGATACTTGGCTCAGTGACGTATGGTATCTTTCGATTTTTTCAATTTTACAATTTTCAATTTTTTCAATTAGATATATTTTCAAACAAAGTCTAATTATAATTTGAATATTTCTCGGTTTTAATGTTACTTCTGTCCACAGTGATACATCATGTAAAAGGAATAAATAAAACCACGAACTTTTGATAACAAGTCGGTTCTTTCGATTATTGATTCAAATGAGTGTGCACGTATCATTTATCTTATACATGACAGTAAATTGATAAGTTTGTTTGGCTGTTCGATGATGGCCGCCCAGAACATGCAATTATATCCATGGAGGCCGTACTCAAAGAATAAACGACGGCGTTTTTCTTCACCTTCTTAATGGGTTTTAGTAATAATATCAAGAATTTAGTAAGAAATCGAGGCTTGGTGCTAGTGCAGCGTAGGTAGATAGAAAAGACGTGTTTTTGAACTGGTTTCTTGTTCCACTGAAAGTCGATGTAGCAAATATTCTGTAAATCAAGGTTAGGAATGAATTCATGCCAGGAAACAAGTGTTTTGTGGATTAGAGCTTGAGAAGTATGCTCCGAAAATGGGCACGCCAAAGAACACTTGAAGATTAAAAGCAGATACATGTATAATTGACCTACTTTACATGGAAAATAAACGTTATAAAAACTTTTAAGTATCGACTTATCTGAAGGAATTCCATTAAATCTTGGAATGAAAGGAAGTTTATTGCATTAAACATTTCGGGCAGTGGAGGTGGGATGTGAAACCCATTTGAAGCTTCCTCCGGGTTGATATGATGTGGATTAAGCTGTCACTCTGCAAGCTTACTGCAGTGAGCGTTAATACACTAGGAATCGAGATACAAGAAAGTCCTGACTATTTGATAAAGGAAAAAACCATTTGTTCCTTTTATTTGAGTCAAAAAATAGAAAAACACCATTGTAAAATGTAATTTTTGAAATGAGATACTTTATTTCAGATAGACAATTTGTAAATTAAATAGCAACATTTATTTTATATTTGTAAATCAGTGTTAATACTTTAAGTTATTGCTTCCAATATATGCTAAAAATGTATCAAAAAGGTGAATCTGTTGGTTATAGAACTCTCTATACAAGAGGTAGTCCTTCAAGTGTAGAAATGTATAAAGAAGACCGAATAATTATCCGTATAGAAATTTCTATACGAAACAAGCTACTCATTCATATAGAAATTTCTATATTAGAGAAATGGTTGCCGTTAGGAAATGCTGCCTGTATAGAAATTTCTATAGCAAACTCGATCACTATACGTATAGAAATTTCTATACGAGGCAAACTAACAATAGAAAAGATGCATACTTGGAAATGGTTACATGTTTCATGTGTATAGAAATTTCTATAGCATACCCTATAACTGTCCGTATAGAAATTTCTATACGAGGCAAGTTAACAATGTATATAGAAATATCCATACTGGGGAAATGGCTGCATGGCTGGCTGCATGGCTGGTATTCTCGATTACTATTCGTATAGAAATTTCTATACGAGGCAAACTAACAATGTATATAGAAAGATGCATAGTTGGAAATGGTTGAACGTATCATGTGTATAGAAATTTCTATAGGATACCCTATAACTGTCCGTATAGAAATTTCTATACGAGGCAAACTAACAATGTATATAGAAAGACGCATACTTGGAAATGATTGAATGTATCATGTGTATAGAAATTTCTATAGCATACCCTATAACTGTCCGTATAGAAATTTCTATACGAGGCAAGCTAACAATGTGTATTAAAAATATCCATACTAGGAAAATGGCTGCCCGTATGAAAAATTCTATAGCATATCCGATAACTGAAGCAAAGAAATTTCTATACGAGGCAAGTTAACAATGTTTATAGAAATATCTATACTAGAGGAATGACTGCCTGTATAGACATTTCTATAGCATACCCTACAATTGTCCGTATATAATTTTTTATATGAGGCAAGTTAACAATATATATAGAAATATACGAGGCAAACTAACAATGTATTTAGAAATATGTATACTACGGAAATGGCTGACCTCATGACAAGGCAGCCGGGGTGAAAACAAAAAAGATAACAAGGTATCAAAGTAAGCAGGTACGATTTCTTTAGCCGGTCTAGTGATCTGTTAATTGTGTCCGTTGCCCATTTTAGTGATAAAGGTGGTGCCATGGTCCCTAGTCTCCCTATTAGCCACTGCACTTAGCATGTCTAAAAATCTTTGTGAATAACTGTCACAGACATGTGGACTGAACCCTGCCATGATGAGAACTGCTATTCTAAAAAGACCTCACATCACTTCTTCAATATAAACATGTTCACATTAGACAAAATGGTCTGTATGAATTTTGTATGTGGCCAAAAATCACAACCATAATACTTTAATTTTAGGCTGCCTCTATCAGAATACAAAATGACTGTCTTTATAGAAATGTCCACATGAGACAAGATTGCGATCCATAAATAAGTTTTCTAGTTGAACTACTTTCAGTAACCATGAATGTTCTTAATCAGTAATAACTACAACTTATACTAATATCCTATGTCGTATGTGCACAGTTATCTTACACAACATTGGTCATTTATAGAATCATACTGCGCCAAATCTCAGCCTACCGTCACTTCCAAGACCGTTATATTACGACCAGATGTGAGCATCATATCACGATGATATGGAATGTTGCAATGTTTTTGCGCTGATTTCAGAGAAATAGACTGATCGATGTGCTCTCGAATGTGTGCTTTCAATATTGCAAGATAAAGTAGATACATCAGATTCATGTATTGGTATAAGAAGATGAAGTCGAAAATTAGATCAATGTAAACATCGAGGTTGATAATAAAAAGTATCCAAATGTCCTTTGTTAGATCATATGGTATAAACTGTCCCCAGGGTTGAAAATGGAAGTTTTCAGATCTGCAGCGATTCACTGAAAAAAAGATAAACAAAGAATTATTATAATGATTAGCTTCAACTAATGCCTTGAAAATAAGTACATGGGTGTGATGGGTTCCCATTGCAACTTCTTAAAGTTTGTTTCCACTTAAATATTGTAATTGAATGGCTATCACTCTGAAAATGGACTTCTTAAAAAACATATGGAGTGCATTCAATGATTCTAACCATTATTTCTCTAAATAATATGTCTGTAACAAATAGGAATTGATAATATGGTAGTAATATAATGAAAGTAATGTTAGCTTTAAAGCTTTTGATTAGTAGTTTTCATTACTACATTATACAGGGCGTATCAAAAAAATGCAACAAGTAATTATCTCGTAAAATTCCAAGACTACTGATGACTACATGAATTTCATTTGATGTACCATAAAGCCACGTCTCTCCTCTTTGCAATGATATGTCATTCATTCACATGTGGTAATGGTTGGGTGAGAAATCCTTCCATTTGCACAGTGGGTCAAAATCGACTCTGGGCCAAGTTTTAGATATTGCAAAAATCAGTGCAAGGGCTAATTGCCAATGGAAGTTCCTCTGACTTTGTTGTGACTTTTTCTTTTGGAGCTATCTCAGGAGCATCTGTGCTCACAATTCCTCCACCAGATATTGCAAAACCTCGAGAAAGAATTGCCCATGGGCTGCTTTTCTCTGCTTTAACCCACAGATGACTCAGGGCTGAATCATGCATGACATGGAGAGATGAGCGCTTCTTTATGTAAAAAGAAGTGGTGGCAATTTGGAGGGGTATAGGATGTATTCTTGCAAGAGTATGAGTATGAATACTTTACTGTCTATGCCACACCTGTCACACCTTCTTCCATTGGCCCCTATGCCCCTTGTACTGACTTTTGCAATGTTTAAAACTTGGGTCCGAGCTGAAATTTGACCCACTTTACAAAATTAATGGTTATTCGGCCAGCCATGACTCTCTTTGGATGAATGATATTCCATTGCAAAGAGGAGTAATTTGGCTTTTTGGTACATTTAATGAAAAGGATGCAGTCAGCATTGGTTTTATGTTTTCTTCCAATTTTGCATCGAGCTTCGTACACTGACTTTTGCGATGTTTATAACTTGGTCAAAAGCTAATTTTGGCCTACTTGGCCAATGGAATGATTACTCGCCCAACCATGACCAAATATCAATGAATGATATATCAATGTAAAGAGGAGACACATGGCTTTATGGTGCATTTAATGAAATCAATGCTGTTATCACTGGTTTTGTGCTTTTCCGAGATAACAATCTGTTGCGTTTTTTGACACGCACTGTATTATCAAGAATTATAAAGCATACCGATTTTCTTCCTCAACTTCGTCGTTTTTCTTTTCCTTTGCACATTTTCCTCAGAGCAGGGCGTCCTTTTAGAAAAAGTTTTCTGAACTTCACCTAAATTATATGCAAAAATGATTGATTTGAAATTAATTTAAAGTTGATTTTGAAAACTAACACATAGTTTAAATATTTTTTTCATAATAGACTGAATCCTAGACGAAGTTTGTTCTATGCATTCGTTTATCGACTCATGTTATATTTGAAGTTATTTTTTGTACTCATCACGTGGTAAAATTCAAATTGAAAGGGAACATTTTTACCTTTATTTATACTGTTACTTGTTTTGCTTTGTCCCACTCTCCCACGAGATTGTTTTTTTCTTTTAGCAGATTTGTCTGGAAGCATGGATATAAGCCTGATAAATTATTAAATAGTTAAATAATACACAATACAAAACAAACCTTTCACGTGGAAATTTGATTAACACAATGTTTAGGAAAATAACTATAAGCCCATAAGGACATACCCTACGTGATATTAGGCTACAATCACGTGTCACAATTACCCATTTGAAACAATAAGTGCCTATGTTCAAGCATTTCTTCATTAATAAATCGAATATGCATGGTGTTTCATATATATGCACCCCATTAAAACTCATACATGTATCATCGCCAACCTGTCATGATTTGACTATCAAAGGGGAATAAATCTTTCGAAATATTTTATTTTAACATAGCGAATGTAAAATAACTATGAATTAATCTTTCCTAAAAAGTTGCAGTGTGATACGAGGCTACAATCACGTGTCTAAAAGAATGTTATGACTGACAATCTTTTTAATACATGAAGTATTGATTTAATATACCTGTCCCTTGTGTGCCTCCCTTCCTTTTAGCAGCTGTCTTTTTACCCACCACAATCTAGAATGATAATTCGAGGTAAAAATCAGATGACTATGAATGAGTTACAACAATCATTACATCATGTAACCTGTTAATGTAACGATATAATTATAAGATAAAATAGTTTTGTTTTATTGCAGAAATAGTTTAAACTATGCATTTCCATTTTCTTTCACCCTTCCCTTTGGCATTTGTGCTTATATATCCATATAACCAAGATATCTAATCCTTTATGTTTAAATTAGAGTATTCTTATACAGGCATGCTAGTTATTTCGCAATTGCCAGACATTACTAATCTGTCGGCAAGCAGAATAATCATTAGTATAATTATATTTACAATACAATGGTATACAGATGAAGAAATGAGAGGCTTGGGATACAGGGTATATCTTGATTAGAGGAATACAACATATCTACCCAATTGATCTAGGGTCGATTTATCTTGTGCGTTATTTACCTTTAGTACTACGGAATACAGGATATACATATGTACTTGTATGTATACATTTACCCAGCACACAAGTGCTCCTTTCTAATCACACCACTCACCGTTGGTTGTTCTTGTTCTATTTCTAACATTCTGACGACTTCGCTTGGAATGACTGACTCTATTGTGGGTTGCTCCTCATGTGACAATTTGGGCAATCCGGCAAACATCCACTGTGTTTTGAATTTTAGCAGATACTGATTGATGAGTGCATCGGATGACAGAAAAGCTCGTATACGCTTAATATACTTTTGCCACCAGATATATTGACTGGCGTCCCTCTGGTCACTGTACAATGGTCTTAAGAATCGTTGGTTTCGTTCTATCCCATCGATATTCAATTTTTCAAAATTCGGTGTCTGCAAAACTGGCTCCCCTTTCGGAAGCGTTTTTAAAATGGAAGGAGCCTCAACCCACGGTTGTGTATGGAGCCCCTTATACAGTAACTTCACGCCGCTTGAGGTCTTAATAAATTTGAAATGCAAAGGTTTTGTGTGGTGCTTTATGTCATTAAGGTGTGGTTCTATCCAATTACGGAAATCGTAGACAACATTTATTCTTTGTCCGTTTTTCAGCAGATAAAGAAGATCATCCATTGTCTCTGCCTCTTGTTGCCTGAGACTATCAGCAATCTTGTGGAAATAGGAATCGATGTCCTCATGCGTGTGTCCCACTATCAAAAATGATAGTTCAATCTACAAATAAACCATGCGTTCACTGTTAAGAACGTAACTTATGTAATGGACGGGGAAATGCATGGGCAAATATTAGTTGTTCCAAACGTATTTGAGTTGAGATATTTTAAGGAGTAGAAATATTAATATTAGCATGACGATTGTGTATTTTTCAAACAATGATAATGAAAAAGAATTGCATCTTAAAGGAGTCGGAGATTGCAATTCTTTTTTCAACGAGTCTCTATGTGCAGTAACTCAATAAATGCAGATACAGAACATATATTTCTGAAGAATAACTACAAGCATACTCTGCAGTGACATCATTTTTGTACGATTTCTCAAATGCATAGTTTAACTGCTTATTGTCGGGGGAAATATACACATATTCTAGTCATCGATGGTATCCATTGGTTCGATTTTGAGTTAATTACCTCTTTAAAAACGCCATTCCTAATAAGGAGTTCACAGAATCCAAGCATGAATCGATTTTTGTTCTCCCTCCAACAGTTATCGGCTTGTAGATAAAGGGTGGGGGGCAATTTGTTACCCTAAAAATCAACAATTAATGTACAAGTATTTGTACAAACACTACTATTTAAAACTGTCATGTAATTTACATTTATAGTCTAGGTTCTAACCCCTGTAATGCCCCACTGCCACTAGACATTGGGTTGATAAAAAGGCTACGGTCTTGAAGCAAGACTAGATTAAAGAAAACATGTTTTTTTATGAATTGGTTATGAAAATCTTCAGCCTGTAGACAATTATACTATAGTACATATGATCACATACCATTTTTGCAGCGATTGTTTGCAACACGAGGAGAATAACGTTGATTGATAGGTTGGAATCATGCGGGTATTCACAGGTGTCAATAAATGTCCTAAACAACCTATGGCCATGAGATATCACACCAGTGATATGCGTCTTTAGCAGGTCTCCCTGTCCAACGGATTTAGCTTTAGAGCCTATAAGATGTGGGAGTGACGTTTTGCCTGAAGAAATATAAATAAATCATGCGAATGCAAGTTCAGAGAGATATCTCAATTGGAATCTGTCATTTTTTTTATTATGACTCATTTTCATTTATGTGTATCGGACGATAACAATATACCTTTATGTTTGGTAATAGGCGTCGATAAAGCAAAACAATATAGTGTATATTGCCCAGCTAATGCCTATGTCACATTTGCTCCCATTCATTGGCCGGCGCCCGGCCGATTGTCGTTTTTTTGGTCAGAACTGATTTCAACTTGCCTTAGATTGAACAAACATTTTTGTAAAGCATGAACAAGTTCTCATGAGCCTATACATGACCTCAAATTGAGATGTGACCTTCAATTTTGAACAAAATATTCAATTGGCAATGTTCCGGCCGAATCGGAGCAAAGGTTACTCAAAGTTAGGCACGATATATACTATTTTTAATTCTTAACAATCTTTATAGCTTTCCGATTAGAATTCCGTTACGCGTTACTTCCATCGGATATGATTTATATGTTAAGTTGTGATTCTAAAGAAAAACGTGTACATCAAAATACGTATGGAACTGTTACATGTAGATAATAAAAACTCTAAATTAATTTACCTTGATCCATGCCGTCAAAAATAATAGAGAGGTACTGTGTCGGTTCATTCCTCGATTGTTCCCGTTTATTATAATAATATTGCCTCTCCATCCTGTAAAATAAAATATAAATTGATAAATCCCCATTTTATATATTCGAAAACCATATTCAATATCATATTAATTATATCTAATCGTATCAAATAATGTATTAAATCTTTTTAAAAACATAAATTAAAGCGTGGAGCGGAGATCGTGTCCATGTATTAAGAAACTTAAGAATATGCGTTTTCAATACCTGGGTTTGATCTTTGTATATGTGTCTGTGCTCGTTACAATGAGATAACAAAGATCGATAAGTTGTTTAGCAAAATAATAAAATATGATATTTAATTGCAATCAACGAAACGCAGTGTTAGTTTGTTATTAAAACAACGGGCTGGTTGTTGAGAGTGGGTGCGTGGTTTTCGAATAATTAGATACATGAAACCATATAGTCCTATGTACACAATGTACAGTAATGCCTGGGTTACATGTGCCCAGATTCATCGCCCGTCGCACGGCCGATTGAGTATTTTGTTCAAAATTGTATAGTTTTGACCAATATACTCATTCGGCCGCGCCCGGGCCGATGAATCGGAGCAAATGTCACCAAGGCTAAGTCAGGTAATCAGACATTATACATATGATTTTTTGAATGTATTAGGTACGTATGAAGTCCTTTACTCCAATGTAAATTCATTCTGATAACATAATAGCATCTTTATGTTTCACCTCTCAGGGCTGAGGAGAAATGAGATTTCATGGTTTACCATAGCCTTGCCCCAAGTCGGTCTCTTTTACTTATCTTGATTTCTATTATGACCGCCTTGTACCAAAGAGAAAGCCACGTGCCTTACCGACAGTTTGTTTATGTCGGTGATTTTGACCAATAGCACGCGATCTTTCAATGTCTAAATTTAGGTTACAAACACACGAGGTAATACAGTTGTTGATTTTGCTCCAATCAGCAATTTAGTATTGGAACCTTTGATAGTGGCATTGTGGGAAGTCCTACCTCGCTTTACTTTCATCAGCTAGCAAAACTGAAAATGACCCTCGCAAAATCGATAAACGTTTTATTTGCTAAATATAATTGAAAGTAATTTGAATGTAGTGAACCGATTTAATATCAGAAAGTTGATGACTGATCAGTTCACATATAAACACTTATAGTTATGCTGTGAAAAGGATAATGAAAAGTTATTATGGTTCTGGTGAATGCGTTTTATTTGTAAGGGAGATGCCTGGATTTGCAGACTGCAAGCATGCCGCATATAACTTCACAATCGCATGGCGAACACGTGGATTTATTTATTGATTTTTGTGTATGACTACCGCTATTGGCTAATGCTATAGGGCACGCGTAATAGTTGGTGCATAATTTATCATAATAACAGTGGAGATGTATCGGATTACTAGTCTAGAATATTTTCAAAATAAAAGCCTCTAGAAAGAGAGAGTTCTTACATTTTTGCGAGCACCCTAGAGACCTGTATCAAAATAATCCTTTATATCTTACAAACGATTTGTGAGATTTGCCAAAGTGAACGAGGTGTCGAAAGGCACTAATTAGACGATTAATTAGTATAGCATTCCTCATTTCTTAACTAGTTCAATCAATACAACCAGTGTTGATCACCACTTAAATGCCAAAACAGCTATGGTCAATGTGTCAATTGTTTCATGCTGGACATGTGCCAGTGTTTTGAAGAATCCATAGATTACAGTACTCAATCTGGTTTGATTAATTTTACTGAACTAGTAAACCCAATAATCAGAATCACACTACAGCATTGCAGCATTATCTGCTCCTGAGATTCTCTCACAAGGGAGCTACTGTATTTATAAGTCTGTTATAATTATCACACAGAAGTACATGCTTATTTGATATACCAAATGGTTATTTTACTATACTGTAAGCAAGGATACTTGGTCTTGATCTTGACTTGTGTGCCATTACTGTAACAAAGAGTTTTCGTAACATGCTTGATATTTAAAATTGATGGTATCAATGAAATTACAGTCAATAAATAAATGAGAATAATTATGAAATAGAAGATGAAGGTAAAAATCACATTAAAATATATGTCAAATGTACGTGTATTAATCATGAGTTCTACATTCATACCAGACATACACTGCACAATGGAATGCAACGCTTATTGGTCAGTGCCAATGAGCCCAGTGTCTAGGATCAAATGTACTGCTAGGTGCAAATATGATAACAGATTGATGCAGTTCAAATCTTTGCTAATTGTTAATATTAAATACTATTTGAATCAACAATTAACATTGTTAATGGTGATGCTTTCAGTGTTAGTGATAATTTGATTGAGAGAAGTATTTTAAAGATAATTTTGTATCAAAGGATTTCCTATTTATGATCAATTTTTACAAATTTCATTGAGCACGTATCTTCAGCTTGTAATAGAGGATACATTAAAATGTTCATTGTAGATATCCACTACATCACAGATAATTATATGGTGATTTCATTGACTAAAGTTTGAACTGGAAAATACATAAAACAAAGGGTATACATAGCAGGGCCATAGCCCGCTTTTTACCAGCTGAGGGGGAGGCTGCGATCGTATTATTTTAAAAATTGGTGCAACTCCTTCAAAATTGAGCTAGAAACTTCAAAAAGCATTCTAAACCTCTCATCTCTTTTATTGGTTGTATTTTTGGGTGAGGTTGAGATCGAAACAACCGCAACCCCCTTAACTCCTTGCAGTAACATATGCATTTGCATTCACAAGATACAAACCACAAGACAATACCTCAAACAGCTTCGAAATCTCTCAAAATTGATAACAAATAGTTGTTCTCACTTGTTTTATAATCAATCGGACTATATTTGTTAAAATTTAATTTCAAAAAAGATATTTCAATTTTTGAAATTCTCTTGTAAAAACGCATTTCAACCGAAACACATTTTGACACCTATTTCATCTTGGTAAATCTCAGTATCAATAAAGGAACCCTTGATTAAACATGGTATATTTCGTCAACAAGACTGTATTTCAAATAATAATTTTTCTAAAAATGTTTTTTTAACATAAACTTATTTTTGCAAAAACTCATTTTTTACCCAAAAACTTACTTCGACACCTATTTCATCTTGGCAAATCTCAGTATCAACAAAGGGACCCTTTACTCTTCAATTATATACCATGATTAAGCTGCTCGTCAAAATATGTTAATGGTGTCATCATGTTTTGAACACACTCGTTTTAGTTGATATTGCATGCAAATCACAAAGAAAAAATTGTTAAGCTCCCAAAATCCCCCTAGTTGATTAAACATGGTATATTTTGACTTTTGAGAGTCAACTAGACTGTATTTTATATAATAAATTTTCAAAAATATATTTTTATCAATTTAATTTTGTTTTTGCAAAAAAACACATTTTTTACCCAAAAACTCACTTTGACACCTATTTCATCTTGGCAACTCTCAGTATCAATAAAGGAACCCTTTACCTTTCAATTATTAACCATGGTTAAGCTGCTCGTCAAAATGTGTTAACGTTGTCATCATATTTTGAACACACTCGTTTTAGTCGATATTGCATGCAAATCCCAAAGAAAAAACTATCAAGGTCCCAAAATCCCCCCAAGTTGATTAAACATGGTATATTTCGACTTTTGAGAGTCAACTTCGACTGTATTTTATATAATAAGTTTTCAAAAATATTTTTTATCAATCTAAAATTTTTTTTGGCAAAAATCACATTTTTTACCCAAAAAGTCACTTCGACACCTATTTCATCTTGGCAAATCTCAGTATCAATAAAGAAACCCTTTACCTTTCATTTGATAACCATAGTTAAGGTGCTCGTCAAAATGTAAGATGTCATTTTATTTTATACATGCCTATTCTAGACTATACACAAGGCGGTAATAATTCAAGATCAGATAAAGTAAAAAATACCGACTTGGGGCAAGGCTAGGTTTACCATGGTGATGTAAATTAGATAATCAGAGATTGTTATGTGTAATGCGAAACGCATGCGGTTAAACCAGTGCATTCAATCCTTTAATCATATACAATACATTGATGGATCAAGATGCACGAAACGTGTTTGTTCTTCAAATTCAAATAAAGATATATAGTCCAGGAGTAAACGGGTGAAAAACCTAAGAAATTTAGCTGGCCATAAATATTGTTTCAATGACAGAATAGATTATCTAAATGTTTCCGTTTGAAATTCTATATCTCTGTTCATATGAGTATACTAGTAGATAGAATATCTATATCAGCTACTTGAATGTGAAAGCAACTTTTAATACTTGTAGTTAAAATGCAGAGTTTTTACATTTCAATTAGAGCATAGGCGTGGGGGGGGTTGCAATTGGTGATCGCCCCATTACCATGAGAAGAAAAGAGCTTTGAAATGATTTTTATTTGACGCTTCTAGCTCAATTTATTATAAAGGAAGTTGCATAAATTTTCGTGAAATTCAAGATAAATCTTAATTGTTGGCTTTTTATGCCACAATCGCATCCCCTGACTGAAAATGGATTTTTTGGCGATCGCACAAGCCCCCCCCCCCCCCCCCCAATTTAATTGTGGAAAATGTCAAACATTTTTTTCCATGATTACTTGTCAAGCGTAGGTTCTATGCGGAGGATGAGTAAGGACCCCAATTAGCAATATACTCATCTAATAATATAACCACATTTAAGGCAAACATTGCTTCTAAAATATGTGAACGAAATACGCCGATGATGAATAAAATACTATAATGCTCGGTATGCCTATCTACAAAATTGACGAAAAGTAAAAATATAAAATAAATATATAAATGGCACACGCTTCTAAGGATGAGTAAAATGTCCCTATATTACGCAAGCTAAATCAGTTAATATTAATATAATACAAGTGACAAAAATACTTGAATCGGATTCATGAAGCGACTATCATATTTATTTAAGCATTCCTTCTAATAAATTAATTCATTGGTCATCAGTATCTACTGAATCAAAGGGTATATAGCAGCGAAACGCAAAAATTACTCTGTGTGCTTGGCGAGATGCAATCGGTTACCTGACCAACTCTGAATTCGAATGAATGGGTATTAAAATTGACCAAATCGAAACCAATTCAAGACAACGCATCTTTTGCGCATGCACTACTATAATATGTAATTCAAATGGGAATTGACCTCCAGTTGACATTTCAATATTTGTGTTAATTTCGTGAAGTCCTACCAAAATCAAAGACATAACGAAATGTCCTAGGAAAGCGTACTTGTTACTCGATATAGATAAAGGACCAGGCTTACTGTTATCACCTTTGACGAGAAGAATTTTCTTCAGAGGTTTATTGACGAATTGCATCTTGCAGCTGTTGTGATTAGAAATAGTCTAAAAAGTGTACGTGCGATGATAGCTCGAGTTTTTTGCCGAAACCTAATTAACCTTGCTATCATAAAATGAATTGTCTGTAAAATGCAATTTTCGAATAACAAATTGAACTAAGGAACAAAGTTACCAGCAATTTCGCACGGGGACTTATTTACCCTAACGATCAGCAATCATTTATTCCAATGACTTAAAAGTGTAAATACTTACATTTGCCTATTGTTATGCTCGTTGAGTGCCTTTTTGATAAGTCTTCTTCGTTCTGGGTTCAGAGTTCTCTCAAGGCGTCTGTTTAGACTCACACATTTATCACATTTAGTGAAACAGTTTGTCTGAAATATAAACACGATTTTACTTGATATATATTAATCAACATACAAATTCCTGACAACGAACTTCACAAAGGATTTCAATGAGCCACTTTACTAAACAACTTTAACCAGCCTAGGGAATCTTTCTATCTAAATTAACGAGATTTTTTCAGCGCATTTTTTGAATTTATGGATCCGTCACTAAAATTGTATGCTCTTTGAGATGCTGTAATCAATAGTAACACAATTTACCAAACTCCAGAAAGAAACTGATTTTACAGTATGGTTCACAGCTAAATGATCTCACCCTGTTGTAAACTTAAGGTTCACATGTAAAGCTAAAGATTAATTACTAAGCTTATTGAAATGGATAAGGATCTCTTCTGTGCTACATTATATAAATCACGGGTGACTTTTTACATTTCTAATGATTTTGCCATACTGCTATATTATACTGAGAAGGCCTATCTCACCATGGTAAAAAGGCCAAATATCAAATGTAAAATAAATAGCAGTCATATTTCAGTACCCTTTCATTTGTGTTTTGAGAAAGTGAACCATGATTTTGAAAATGATATGAATAACATTGCTAAATGTAACGCATTTTGACTAGTTTTTATTACTAGTTGCTGAAAATCGCAAGAAGAAAGCTGCCATTTTAAAATCGACCTTTTATATCATTAGACCTTCAGTGTGATAAAAAAAGCTATTGAAATTAAAAAAAATTATAGCAAATTATAGAGAATTTATAGCACTTGTGATAGAATGGATTGCTTAGCTTCCCCTTCGTGAATATGCCTGTTTAGGCTAACAGAAGTATGTCGCGAATAAATTACTCAGTTTTATTTGCACCCCGGGTGTTGCACTAATAATATGATATTTTGATGTACCATAAATAATTTTAGCCCCGCATATCTGGTTAGTATTACAATACCAAATTATGTAACATGTGAATTTGGAGTTTCAGTAAGTTTAAATATTACATTTAGATGGATTATTCACTTGCAAAACTTTCAAAATCATAAGTATTCAGATTGAAATAACTTTACAACTTAGTAGAGAATGTGGTAAAGAATTAATTAATTATTACAAACCCCTTTATAATAAGGATAACATGACCTAATTCTTGTTTGGGCAAGGTAAAACTTTATTTTGTCTAAAAATTGTTTACAAGTAAACAAAGCTAGTTCCTACTCCCTACATGTACGTACACTACAATTAGTTCTACTTGACACAGAGCCAAGCCAAAGTTCAAGGGTGAACTTGAATTACCTTGTATACAGATACACGCGTGTGTGTAATTAACATTTAATAGAGTACTATATAATAGAATAAGCACAGTTGAGTACCATAAGGTAATGATTATTTGATAGTCTAAATCAAATAAGCTGCAAAGGGAGTGGGATTGGCTGGTATTTTAATGTAAATATATTTTCTACTTTTTATGACGTAACATTTATCAATTATCGCAAAAAAATTATGATATGATGTAACTTCGAATTGAAAAAGATCTAAGGCAATCTAAGGATAATTTTGGCTTAAAGGTACGGAAAGCTGCGAAAAGTTATTTATCGATATTAAAAGTTGAATAATAAATGCATAACGATGAACCTAGTATCAAATATATCAAAGTTTGGTCCTGCAGTTATAATCTTGAAATGGGGTGGATCTTAAAAATCTATTTAATAGTGGGACTGATTTAAGTGGCAAAAGGGCAATTCAAAAGTGTTAATTGGGTCCGTTATCCCTCCCCCTCTCAGAGAATCATACCTTGAACGAAGGTTGGATGTTTTGCACTCGGTCCCAGTTAAAGTTAAGGTCTACACCTCTCATTTTTGTACAAAAGGTCATTAAGGTAAGAATAAGTAGAATATTCAGTGGTATACATTTCAAATTTGCAAAAATCCATATTTTCCACACCAACCTAAAAGTTCGCAATGTAATTACAAGGTGGGCTTTTTAATAATGGAATTAATGTTGCACATAATTCTAATGGAATGAACTTCTTTTTGTTAATTTGTAACATAAATCTTACGCTTACCTTTTTAATCTTAAGATGGGGAAACATGTCAGCCCACATACGCATGAAACTTGTCTTGCTGAAAAAGTTTCGAAACTTTTCTACTCTTTCGCTTTTGTATCGAAGGTACAGTCCCTCTTTCCTCGTCTTGTAGGGAAGCATAACATCTTCTGAATCGGGCATTCGGTCAGCATGATAAGTCGCATATTCTTCTAACCAAAACTTAGCATCGTCGTAGAGTGATGTTTTACTTCTGCGCCTTTGATAACCCGTTGACAAGACTCCGTTTTCATAATCTTTCACTGATTTATAATAGAAACCTTTGCTTATATAAAAAAGTTGGCAAAATGCCTTTGAACATATTCCCAATCCATTTTCAATCATTAAAAAATATTTTCCATTATTCTGTTTTGCGTCTCTTAATTTCTGTATCAACCATTCGTGTCTAGATTCAAAATCCTTCGTCCATAAAATCTCCCTACATCTACGAGCCATGTCCATGTTTACATTTAAATGACATTTTGAAATGCAGCATTTCTTCATATATTTAATCTGGAGTAATGATCCGTGTCTTAAGCTTTTTTCCAATATCCTTGAAACCGTTCTTTCACGTTTTGGGGCTATAAAATGAACAATATGTTATAAATTGACAAGATTAAAATGTGCAATTGTATTAAATGTTAAATGAGTAAATTTGAAATGGCATACTTTCGCTGTGACATTATTTTCTAAACATGCAATCTGAAGTCTAACATCACTCAAATCGATGCAGATAGAATAAGGGATGTCTCGTCTTGAAACAAGACAAGTGCATGATCAAAAAGTAGTCTCCTGAAAATTTATGTGTATTTTTGTATTTTCTTATATGTACAAGCGTTGTTAAGGAGCATTTAAATATATATATGTCGAAAATGTGTTTGCCGGAAAAACGTTATTTGAACGTCAGGTGGAAGGAAGTGGTCACTGGCCTTAAAAGTTATCCTTCCGTCATCTTTCCCAGGAAATAAATCATTTCGAATACAAATGTTGTTGGATAGATAATTTGTTCAAATCAAATGCATTTCTGAACAAAATACTCAATCGACCGGGCGCCTTTGTTAGATCAGAATATTACTCACCTGTTGAGAAAGAAGTGATGTTGACTTTCGGGGTAACACTCCCTAAGTCTTCCGGAAGTAAATCTTTTAAGCTATCTATAGGAGATGTCTCGTCGTCATAATCGCTAAAGCTATCGTTCCATAAGTCACTTTTCATCTGATTTTTGAATGGCGCAATGGGAGTACTGGTTAATTGTTTGTTTTCGTTATGACGGATTTTCGAAGGTGTTTTAACCGTATTTTCGTATTTGCCATCGTCGTCGCAAAAATCAAATACATCTAGTTTTGGACTATTGGCGCTTGTATCCATATCATCTTGACAGATAAGTGAAGTACCAAGTGGCTGATCATTGTTTTCAAGAGATATTCCAAGAGGGTCGTCATTGTTGTCATCGTTTGCTATATCGAGGGATATTCCCAGGGGATCCTCAGATGTTGTGTTTAAAAGGAAGCTTTTACCCTGAAAATCGAAATTGAATTTTGTTAAATTTTACTGGTTTCATATAAACCTCAATTCCTAAACTGTCTTGACAAAGGAAAAAAGAGCATGTATTATGTAAACCAGGTAGAAAACGCAGTGCTAGCCATAAAACCATTAACGCCGGAATCGATGATTATTATAATTTCTTTCTTTAGTTTCATGTTAGAATTGGCATATCAATTCATTACTCACCGCATTGTTGTCAGCACCAGGTATTTTGATTGGGTAAATGTAGTCGGATATTAATAGAATGAGACAGACATATATGGTCCATCTATCCATGTTCCGTGTGTAGACTTCTGATTCGTTTTCGACTTTCTAAAGTGTCCAAACTCTAATTATTCCATTGTATTTGTCCTTTGTAAATGTATTAGTGATCATATAACGTCAGTTAGCAGGTTAACAAAGATTCATTTGCGCATGTTGTTTGTTGAAACAAGTATTTCGTTTCTGGGTCACTCATTGGCTCTTTACCCCGAGGCTAAGGAATGTTATGGATTTCACGACTGGTACATGGCTTATCCAATGATACTTGTATAGTATTTTACAATCTAAAATACAGTAAAACCTGACTAATCTGAACGCCATTGGAACTAGCTAAAAGTGTTCGGATTAGACAGGTTTTCGCATCTCCAAGATCCTGGACTTTGAAGGCCCGATATGATTAAGAGTATTAGATATTTTTCCAAAAATGTTGAAACAAAAATAAATCTAAGCTTTTAAAATATTTGAGAAATCTGTGAACTATTTTTAAAAGTGTTCAAGTAAGACAGGTGCATCTTCACTTTTCAAGTTTCTATGACATGAAAGTAAATGGTAAGGCAGAGGGGAAAGCGTTCGGATTTGAAGGTACTCGGATTACCCAGGTTTTAGATTTAACAGGTTCTACTGTACTCCCTCTTTACTTTTGAGATACCCTTTTGAAATATCCTATCATTTTATTGTTTCGGTTTATAATAACGTATTAACCAATTAAAAAGTAATTACGGTTATGTGTCATTTGCTGAAACCTTGAAGTTCTATGCTAATATGACAGATTTTAAAATCAAGGTCTCATTGATAAAACAAAGCTAGTGTGTGACATTTTTAAGGGCTGCATGATTGCAGGGGAATTTCTTAGTAACATGGAGTATTACGTTTTTACACTCTGATATACGTACACGCACATGCAGACTATGCTTGTTATTCCATCATGGCTTCGTTTCTGAATAATTGGCATATGATTGAAAGCGATGATAAAATATACCTTCAAAAAGAGGTAGAACCAGAACTCTATGAGATTAAGGGTGTTTATCAAGCAAAATTACAAAAGCAGGGCGAGAAGATAAAGGTAAGTTGTTTCCATTTAAGTTCTTTTGCAAGCCGTGTTGACTTTTGAGCAAATTTCAATGAAAGGAATTCCTGGGTCATATTTGCTCCGATTCATCGGCCAGCGCCCTGCTGATTGAGTATTTTGTTCAAACTTGTATACACTACAGTTTTGACCAGAATACTCAATCAGGTTTGCGCTGGCCGATGAATCTGAGCAAATGTGACCCGGGCATCAGTCACCCATCCCTCTTGTATTCTAGGTAATTTATTAACCTATAAATGAAGAAAATATGAGAGAGGGATGACTTGCTCCCCGTTGTTCAATGGGAAGGATTTTGAATGGACTTTAGATCAATGTTTGTGATTTTGATATTACCTCATTCTCTTAGGACAGGTTTTCACTGTTTTCACAAAATGTAGGACACTAATATAAGTTGAGTAAGTTAAAGGGAGTAGAAAGGATAGAGGTAATGAGTGCTTGTCTCCTTGGTTTCCTCACAGTTTTTAGTCCTTTTCGTTTGGCCCCTAAGCTTAGATATCTATATTCTAGGAAGGGGGATCAGCGTTTGCAGTTTACTACTTTCAATATCTTTCGTCTGGAGGGGGGGGGGGTCATGTTGATCATGCAGTGTATCAATCATCCGAATTCATACTGAAAGAATGTGGCTTTTAGTCAAACATCTGTAACTTCTGTAACCATTTACAACAGGTATGATGAGTTATGGCATTTCGTCAGATCATATTATAGCATTATTAATTTTAATAGAAAACATTAGTAACATTTGGACAAATAATCTCATCTTATGCACAAATGTAAAGGTGCACACTTGTTTCCAACATATATTTCCATTTCAGATGCTTATTTGGGACCATGTCCTCGGGGAAGCAACAGACAAAACTGTGTATCTTGGGTCCTTGCAAACTGGAAAGAACGCTTTTAGCAAAAGGTTTCAAGAGGCGGCAACTAGAGTGTCAAGAACATTGTTCTGCAATCTTTGGGAGGAAACCGGTCGAAAATGTGAGTTATGAACAAATAAAGTATAATATATAAAAAGCAGTGCCTCATTGTTTTGCTCTGTGTTTGAACTTGAAATTGAACTTGAATTAAAGTTCATAAGATCGATATGGCGTTCCAAGTTAAATGGCATTCTGGATTTCATTTGTCATTAAACATTATTTGGCTTTTTCAGGTTTACCTGATCCATTACCGCAACAACGACAGTTAGGTTCCCTGGATGTAGACGACGCTGATCATTTGGATTTGGTGAGTTCAAGTATTGTTCTTTCTGTTAAGATATATTCTGGTGATACAGCACAAAAGCGAAGCCATAATTATCACCCAGTTCCCCTTTCCGTTTCTTTGATCTCCATGGTTTTGAACAAGTTAGACCAAATGGAAGTCGAAGGTTTTGATAGGTTTTAAAGAGAAGCTTTTAATGAGGTTTGAGTCAAATTGTGAAAATTAAGGGGAGCAAAAGAATGTGATCTTAAATTATTGAAATTTTAAATTTCAAAATATGTCGCATTTCATGTCTTGTCTGGAAAGTAAGCAAATCTCAGCGGTTGGTATGGATAATCCAGTTAACCTCAATTTTGCAAACACATATATACATGTATCTCATACTTGAGTGGGTTTGGGGTAGATATCACCCGGGAATATATATCGTATCTGAGGAGCGGGCAGGATATATTGTATATGTCCCGCTCCAGGCCAAATGCGGGCAGATATAATATATCTATAATTTTTCAAAAGTTTAAAAAAGTTTAAATATCAAAAGTTTTAATTTTTTAATTTTAAAATTTTAATTTTTTAAGTTTAAATGTTACAATTTCATTGTATTGAACAAAAAGAATGTTACGAAAATGTTCAATATAAATATCTTGTCATTTGAAAAAGGTGGAAAAGGTTATATCTACCCTAAACCCACTCAAGTATGAGATACACCAGTTATGCACGGTCGGTTTGGATACATGGAATATCCCTTGGGATATACAATACATCTTCCCTCGGTCCCTTCGATCCCTCGGGAAGATATATTGTATATCCCTCGGGATATTCCCTGTATCCAAAACCTCCCAGTGAATAACCCCTATGTACTGAAATTATAAGAATTTAGAGCGATGCTTAAAAACCATAATTAACTTCTATGACGTGCACGGGCCTGGGGACAATTCCGGCTAATCTCAGCTTTAAGCGTTAATATCTTATTTAAAAAGCTAACTATGTTCTTTATATATCATTTTGAAGTAATTTTTATTCGCATTTCACTGAAATTATTTTTCTTTTAAAGGTTTGATGGGATCTATCACATTTTTAAAGTTAAATATACCCCGACATCATGTAAGACGTAACATTTTACGCTTACACGGTTCGTTGAAATCGGGATAACTTTTGAAATACTGAGCAAAAGTTTTTCTAAAATTTCACATTTTATTCAATAGAACATGTGCATTTTTTCAATAATCTATTGTTTTTCTATAAGTATGGTTACCATTCTTATTATTTGGAAGAATTTAAACATTTTTCACCCATTTTTGGACTTTGAATCCATTATAACTTCACCAATTTATAATACATCGTGAATCGTTTTGGAGGTATTGTATTTGAATAGATTGGCAGGTCTGTTGCACATGTTGCTTGTAAATTTGTCACCCCCATGGATTTGATTGTGCCTTTAACCTTCTAATTTAGGTCTGATTTCAAAAATAAATTAACTGCACACTATTGTCATGGCGAATTTTACAAAACAATAACCGATTTGTATATTTTTCAAATAATATCAAAATAAGAGCTGATTTTAGAGACTCAAAAAAATGTAACACATCGATTTTTACCACAAATTCCATACATATCAATTTTTACTAACGCTCCGAGTGGATTTTTTGACCGTTTTTCAAAAATCAAAAACATTTTAGAAATATTGTCCTTGAGATCTTGTTGCTCTGTGAATTTTACCAGGATTGAATAAGGATAAAGCATCTTATTTTTAGGTTGACTAAACTTGACAAAATGTAACGCTTGTCGTTTCTGACGTTACAAGTCTCTTTGTGCCATATACTGCCCATTGTTTTGTTTTGGTATTTTGACGCCAAAATGTTACGCTAATTGTCCCCAGTTTCGTCCGACGTGTATTAGCGTTTGCTTACATGCATTGACATTATAAGATACAAGGGGCGATCAAGAAATAACGTTAGTATAACCCAAACTCAGAAAATAATCACCCATTTATCCCTAATGATGATATTTATTAATTTTACAGGCGCTTCAGTATCGGCGTCACATACAAGTGCGTCACATTCAAGTGCGTCAGATTTTTATAGAAAATTATGATAATTATATCTGATTTGGCTATAATAGAGGACCACCTCTTAGGTATGATACATACGACCACCAGACTCAGTAATCCGATAAGGCTAAACAATCCTAAGTAATGGCCATAAATCAGCAACCATATAGCACAAAGTACCAGACTAATTAAAACCTGCTGCTGCTATCAGTGTAGCACTGGTTTCTCCAGCGATAACAGTAACATTAACACCATCATTCAGTGACATTTCATTAATATCAATTAAAAATTAACTCTATATGTGTTTATTTTTTAACCTTATTTATAATAAACAATTATTTGTTGTTTACTTGACAACAAACAACTGATCTTTTGACAATCCTTTATTTTCATTAGTTTATAAATGATTTTTGTATTGTATAATCATGTTCGTATCAAGTCTTAAAACGGGGAGCGTGACCGTTGAACTCGCGGGGTAAGCTACAACACCACTTCATAAAGTCCATTGTTCTCCAACTGTGACGTCTTTATATCCATTTCAACTAGATAAAATGGCAGATAATTCAACATTTTCGATTCGGGTGCTAAACTTCAGTACGGCACAATTATGTAAGCAATAATATGAATATCGTTCCCAATATGTTCGAGCCTAAAGGGAAAATCTCTAAAAAATTCAAAGAAAAAAGGGGCTTTCGCGTCTAACATTGCACTTTGATGTCTCAAATGGTATTAGCCACGTGCACACATAAAGCACTTTATCATAATACGAAGTGAGGCAATGGACGATGTGGCAGCATATGGTATAACGCCTGGCGAACGATGGTAAAGGTACGGAACAACAAAAGGAATTTATGTGCTTGATTTTGATGAACTAATGCATGCTATCCGATATATTAACTTGGAACTCATGCAGTTGTTACCCTGGTTATGGCCAATCCACCAAGATGTTGTACACCATAAATGCATTTTGTTTTGCTCAATCGCATAAGACAGGGGATGGTCTCGCTCGGGATATTTCCTGGGGTATATCAGAATTTCCCCCACGAAAGACAATTAAGAAGACAAATTCTAACACTCAAATTACCCTCTGATGTACTGGGAGTGTAATGGGGGTATCAGCAAGTACTCAACACCATAATTAACAGTAAAAAAATATGATACCTATTCGGACTTTCTTTTTTCTGGTGAACCCCACAAAATGTCCCACGCGAAACCATCGCTGATTTTAATAGATAACTTGATCTATCTTCAACATATACGCCGATGTGCGCTTATATGTCAAGATAATTTATCATTAATGTATCTCACACTCATATTTGCAACCGGAGTTTCTTGCTCATAATTAAGCCCATTTGAGTATGGTAAGAGGGGTAAATCAAGAATAACAACGTAAGTGATTTCAAATGAACGCCAATTTGAGAAAAGATTAATCACAAACCACTATGGCTAATCTATTTTGACATTTATTTTTCATAGCAAGTGACTGTGATTTATATTCGGATGAAATCATTTTGCTTCTAGACACCGGCAAGAACTATTTCATGTTATTTTAAAGTACAGAAAAAGTACTTCTTAGAATTAGCAAATATTTTAATAGATTTTCAAAAATCCATTAGATTTATCATCAATTTTCAACCTATTGTAATTGAGGAAAAAATTGGGAAAGTTTGGAGGCATAGAAAATGAAGTCAATTTACATTTCCATCAATATCATAAGTACTGTATTTTCCTAGTACATAGTAGGTTATGTAAATAAAAATTCAAATATAAAGAGGCTTCAACACGTAGTTCAGTTGGGGGGAGGTGTTAAAGAGGCTCTATGCCATAGGATAGCACAATCAAGACACCTCTGGACTTTTTTGCATATTGAGTTTCACCACATATATACCCATCTACTTACAAAAGAAGAGGTCGCAAATCCCCTTCTTTCAGTGTTAATTTTGCGATTGTGCTGGCCGATCTAATTATTTTCGAAGAAATTAATTCAATCTGAAGTTTGAATATTCCGGGAAAGTCCTCCTGTTATCTGATTGGTCGTTGAATTTGTTTATCATAAACCTGATTGGCTCCCTGGTTCAAGGCGATTGTGTGACTCAATGGGGATTCCCCTCTATAGCCGAGGAATCGATTGTGTTTAATTCTGGAGTTTGGTTGTTCTGTTGATTATTTCTGATATTTCGACAGTAATATACCAAAAAGTTATTCTCAAGATTTATCCATGGTATGTGTGATATAATATGAGCAATAACACTAGTACAGCATTCATTGTCTGGGGGAGAAACCTATGGCATAATGCATCTTTAAGGTTGCCAATTTTTTTTATTTTATCAATTTTATTTCTAAAGTCTTTGGTTCCATAATGGTCCAGGAGTAAACGAATGAAACACATTAAATTCTCAGAAATTTAGCTGGCCATAAATATTGTTTCAATGACAGAACAGATTATCTTAATGTTTCAGTTTGAAATTCTATATCTCTGTTCATATTATCATTATTATTATGAGCTTTATTATACTTGTATCCCACATTTGGGCAAAGTGTACAGCTTAAACAGAAAAAAATGAAAAAGCTTAACTAATTATCTATATATTATACTAACTAATCAAAGGGTGCTTGATCATTGCAAGATTTTATTGGATGCATTTCGTGTTTTTTTCTCTCTCGATAAAAAATATTAGATATATATCTTGCTAGTATATTTAATATTATTCCCTCTGAATTAAATAGAAACATTAATTTTTGTTCCACTTTATTCATGTTTTCTAAATTTTGACAGTGTTTTTTTATTTTATCCATGTAACTTGACCGAACATCTTTTAACTTATTGCATTCTAATAGGAAATGGCATTCTGAACCGGTTTTCTTGTTACACATTAAACATTTTCTTTCTTCAATAGGGGTAATTGGTTTTGTGTAACGACCTGTTTCGATTTCTAATTTATGTGCGCTAATTCTTAGCTTTGTCAAGTTATTTCTGTCTATTTCATTTTTGATTAAATCCAAGTATGGTTCCTTGTTCCATTTTGCTTTTATTATCTTATAAAACCTCAATTTACCATTATTTGATTTTATTTTAGTTTCCCAAAATTGTATGTATCTATTTTCCAGTAATTTCTTAATTTCTCTTGGTTTTAAGTTTAAATAGTTTGGTGAAGTACCATTGTAAATATATTTAAGTACATCATTGATGTGCGTGAGCCATGATTGTTTATTCATATCTGTCAGTTGTTTATTTACCTCAAGGGCTTCACGTGCTCATATGAGTACACTAGTAGATAGAATATCTGTATCAGCTATTTGAATGTGAAAGCAACATTTAATTCTTGTAGTTCAATGCAGAGTTTTTACATTTCAATTAGACCATAGGCATAGCCATGGGGGGGGGGTGCAATTGGTGATCGCACCCCCCCCCCCCCCCATAACCAATAAAATATAACCATGAGAAGAAAAGAGCTTTAAATTAAATGCTTTTTATTTGAAGCTTCTAGCTCAATTTATTATGAAGGCAGTTGCATACTTTTTTGTAAAATTCAAGATAAATCTTAATTGTTGGCATCTTATGCCACAATCGCATCTCCTGACTGAAAATGGAATTTTTTGGCGATCGCATCTGAAAGCTGGCTATGCCCCTGTAGACATTTCCATTTTTAAACTTCATATCCTGCAGATTCCTATAATAATTATATTATATATAAAAAATATCTATATATCAGGCAATAAAAAAAAAAGTTCTATCTGCACAATATCACATTGTGATCTAGATAGCTAACTAGCTTGACTGACTGATATTCATTTGCTTTCATCATATTATGTGGCTTACAATAGTCAGGATTTTGTGACTCGGAGGGGGTGGTTCATTTTTTAAATTCATGCAAAATACTTCCCCACCCTGCCCACACTCAAATCACCTCATTTTACAATAAGTAATAAAGGTATCATAATTTGATCATTATGGAATTTATTTTATGAAAGTTTAAGATGCAGAAATTGTTCACAAATTGTGAACTTTAGAAATCAAGTGCATCAATGAAAAATATATACATGAAATTATATTCATTAATTTTGCACTAACAAGACTTGCGAATGGTCATTAAAAAATAAAAGTATGTGTATCTTGCATCATTATGAAATAAAATCACAACCATTTTTAGGGATAAATATGAAGTCCCATGCGCAAAAGTTATCAAAACATTTTCAAAGTCGTGAATTACTTACAACTCATCTCTAGACTTAGATACCCTTTGAGACAGCAATCCATTTAGGCTCATTCTATTTTCAAGATGACATCTGAATTCAACTTAGTTTTGAAGTGTGAACTAGGCATGAAGTATAAACTACCCTAATAAATTAATTATCTCATGTTTATTTGATTTTAACAATGGCCATTGTCTCTATCAAAAAATATAATTATACCAAATGAAATTTGGTACTCCATTTTCCATTTTAGAATATTTAACTTGAAACTGGAGTAGATAGTATATCTGTCTCTGGGTAGTATAGTACATGTATTGTATACTAGTAACATCTTATTTAGTCTTGAATACTTCAAGGAACACTAGATATTTGCCTTTAAAAATACATGGAAACAGACTGCAATCTGTCTATGAGAGGAGGACAGTGAGTTCACTCTAGACTAAAACCAAGAAGACAAACCCATAACTTACATCTTATCTAAATAATCTGTCAACTTAAACTCTGAGTTTTCCAGAGCTGATCAGATTTGATCAGAACTTTGCAGTTATCTGGAGAACTAATAACATTCTATGTTGAATTTCGAATCTAAACTAAAATGCCTCCTCGTGGCTTGCGCTTGACATCTGAGGCACATCGCCACGTGGTGTCTCAACTTACCAAACCAGATGTGAAGAGGAAACATCGCTCTATAACAATACTACACATCTTATTTAATGGGTAAGATTCTTTAGTGAGCCAATGTGTGATATATTATCGCTGTCACTATCGAAGACCGTAAAGAACCATACTTTAGAAAATTACTTAAAACAGACATGGATTTTTACAGCAAGCATATCATATTAAGAGCTTGCGCTAATTGTTTGGGTTTGAATACTGATCTTGGAAGGAGACGACTGTCACTTGGGTTTTGTAATATTGTCTGTCAGAAAAATATACCATTGCATTGAACAGCGCTTATTTACGTGTCCATCCTTAATAATGTTTGTTTATAAATAAAGTTGACCTGATTAGTTCATGTGGCCATAGAGGCACAGGTTGGTGTTGTGAAATACAACGCTAAACCATTACAACAGATTACAGGTTGATTACCCTAACAAAAGGCCAAAACTTTATGGAGTGATAAGTGTGCAGTGTGAGATAATGACACTTGACATAAATACCTTGAAAATAGTATAATCACTGTGACTGATCAAGAAATAATTTAACGACTTCAATCTACAACAGCTACTTGACACCTATCTGAAAAGGAATCTCTAAGTATCTCTTTAATGAAACAGCACAGCAGGCATGCTACATTGGATACCCCATGAAGCACCTAGCACACAATTTTAATTAGATACATTCAATTCAATTAATTCCTTTATAATTTCATAAAATACACATATAAAGGTTTAACAGGTGACATCATCTCTGATGTTTATACCCGTACATATGTTAAAGCATTATATTACGAATATTAAGAACAAGGTTATGTGAAGTGATCAATCCCCGCTCAACCATATCAAGATTGGGTTTTGTCTAAAAGAAAATCTAAGAGGGAGTGTGGGTGGGGGAGGTGCAGCACAGATATAAAGCTAAGAAGGCGTGATTATGTGGTCGTAGTGGCGTGGTTTTCGGCTCTTGCTTCTATACGCAATCAGGCCCTTGGTCGGGGGGGGGCTTAAGGGGTTGGGGGGGGGGGTCGTGCGAACATCCCCTGGAAAAAATCGTCTAAATCATTTTCATCAATTTTGAAGTGATTTTCGGCATATTCAAACAAAATTGTCAAAAGTAAACCCCCTGATATTTTTAAGAAATCGGCCCCCCATTGGCTAATTCCGGCTACGGGCCTGTGTAATCGAACTTCTCGTGAGATTTTACGACAACTGCTACCTCGATTGAGCATTTCTAGTTTGAATCTATTATTATTAATCTAAAACTCGATTATTCTAATTTGTACACATTTCAAGTGCATCAGATCAGATAACCAACCAGAACGTTTCTTAAACTAACTTCATGCATAATCTAAACAGGTGGCATGTGGGTGCGTTTACAATCTTGAACCGACCTAATGCCTTGGTCACATTTGCTCCGATTTTCACTACGGCGCCCGGCCGATTGACTATTTTGTTCAAAATTGAATACAATATTGAGCTAAACACTCAATCGGCCGGGCCCCGGCCGATGGATCGGAGCAAATGTGACCCGGGCATTACCAGATTAACCAAGTTTTACTCTGGTCAGATATAAACATTAAACATATGTGTTTTATTCGTTTCATGATGGTCTCGTTGCATTTTTCAAAACTATAATTTCAGATCCAAACGGTCCCAAAAGATGGACACGGTGAATCATCGATGAATTCAGACTTACAAACAGGCAAAGAAGTCAATGGAGAAACTGATCTTGCGGTTAAATCACATCTTATTGGTATGTTCCCTGGTCATTTTGTTTGGATTTTGAAATGTTTATTTTCGAAGGAACAGTGTATATTGTACTTAATACAAATGAAAATAATTCTACACTTTTTCAATGTGCTTTCTACTGCTCTACTGCTTTCTACTGACTTTTGTTTTTCATATTGTTTAATAATAATAGGGCAAACGGAAACTATATACATTTTGATAATTTTCTTACTTTTTTCTTTTGATCTAAAATTATTACGGGGAATGAAGTTTCATCTGTCTTATGCCGAAATATCGACTCATGCATAGCATTCTTGGTCTTACATCAAATTCATCACCAAAGTCCCATGTCCATTACCCTGAACCTTCACTATTTAGGTGACTTCATCACCGTCCCGATAGAAAGTTTGATATCGCCATCAGAAGTCAACAAAGTGAGAGATCTACACCAATGGCAAGTTGATAAGATTATGAAGTCCATCGAGGCAAGGCCAGATGCAAGCTTTACTGTAATGTTGGGGAACATCGTGTCTCCCAAGCCCATCAACAAAACTGCTGTGGAGGGAGGCCTTCACAAAATTGAAGTTATTGGAGGACATCATACCCTAGCAGCGCTCAAGAAGCTGCACGAAAAAGACGGTTGCAGTGATGAGTCTAAATACAGCAAATGGTGTATTAAGGTATACTAAAATGTAAAGAATAATGCCTTTCTCAAGTCACAATGTAATGGTTTAAAGTATTTTCATAATATAAAATCAAAGCATATAATAGTATATAATATAATCATTTACTTTTTATACCCAGCGAGCACATATTACAAACCCCATCAATTATTATCATCATCGCACAATACGAGAAAGCAAAGTGAATGTTTTTCTTGATAGAATCGACCAAACATTAATGTGATTTTTATTCAAATATCTTACATTTTTTAAAAATCTACAATACTGACGTTTGAGAGTATAATGTAATCCTCAGGTGTATTGGGGCCTGTCTAACACGCAAATCTTAAAACTTGGCATGGACCACAATGAGGTGATGGGAATGCATCTCAAGAAGACCTACGTGGACATGGTCAAACTTTTTAGAAGGCAACTTATGAAGATTCTGGATACGGACGTTGTGCCAGATGTATTGCCAAAACCAGTGAACGCGTTGTGGAGGAATACGCTATGCTCTATATTAAGGATAGAGGTAAACTATGATTATGAATATGATCAAATAGCATTCGATAAGGAACAAAACCCAATAAAAGTGTTTAATATAACGTTGTCTTAAAAAATAGTTCAATTCGCTCATAAACTCTGATTTTGAGAGAACGCGAATTGAAAAGAATAAAGTGAAACAGAACTTGATAAATCTAGACCATATACTAGAATGACAAAAAAAGTGCAATTTAACAATTACATTGTTGGAATATATTTTGAAAGGGAAAGTATCGTGGATGCAGCAGTGATACTTCTTTTATATGTTTCATAATCAACATTCAAAGTGCATTATGTTACCAAATGATGCAATCTCACGTTTTCAGTAAGTTATCAAGAAGTTTAAGCTTGCATGTAAAATCTAAATGCCAACCTATACGTATGACCAATCGCCCATAGAAATGCATCGCTTTAATATTTTACGTTCAGGTTTAGGTTGTGAGAAACATTGCAAGCTTGAACTCCCTATTGTATCTTTCTACACGTTCATGTTATATTTTAAGGACAAGCAGAAACTCTCTAGTAGTTTCCAGAACTACACACGGATAGCAGAGCTTCCGAATCATGTATGGGACGTGGTAAACACCTTCCTGAGTAAATGGGAGAATGGGGACATTAAGGGACAACCATCTGCACCTTTAAAGCAAACGGCAATGATAAATGTTACAAGGGACTGCTGGCAACACCTTGAAAAGGCAAGCAATGGAGAGATAACATACAAAGAGTTTCTCGCTATCAAGAAACCTGGCCAGAAAAAAAGGTTGGTGTAAACATTTTTTTATGAAAAGTATTTCATTGTAGTCTTACATTGTAATCTGATCATATGTTCTATGATGCAGGATATTTCCAACATAAAATACCATTTTTTCACCACAATGTAAGCCTAGATGTTGAGTCAGGTCATGTCATGTCATTCGTTCATTTATTGTTTTATGCCTCATATCCCCAATTTTTATACAATCGATATTCTATTGCATTGTTTTCAGTTGTTTTGCACTGTATATATTCATTTATTTCAGATCTAATTCTTCAAGAGCACAGAATACAAAGAAGGCAGATGTGGAGGATAGTGACGGATGCATTGATAGCGTGAACCATACGGTAAACATTTGCAATTACCGCTGTCATATACCGCTGTCATATTTCCCACTCTCCTTTTGGTCTACATATAACATGCAGTTAAATTATACATGTAAACAAACACCCGAATATGGAATGGTACTTGTGGACCAGTTCACAGCATTTTCTTTTAAATGGGTAGATTTGCATTGCTCATTATAAGCTTTGCAACATTAGGACTTAAAATGTATTTATTTTAGAGTGACAACGCGCAACAATCAACTGGAACGAAAACAAATTCGAAAGATACATTGGTTCATGCCCTCCAGTCTGAACTAAAGAAAAAAATATCTACCGTCAAAAAGGTAAGCTTTACATATTTTTGAAGATAAATAAAAGAAAAACGTATAACATGTACATTTTCTGACAAAAATACATCAACATCCTTCAAGTAGTTATTGTCAACATTTAAAGTCTCGAAAATGTATAACTTTATCATTTTACTAACCTTAATTCCATGTCTACTATTAGTAGCACAGAAACGGTGAGAAAACATGGTTCAACTTAATTTTTCTTGACAGTTTACCTTTAACGACACTATTTTTAACAGCATATCATTTTTCCGATTTTCAGTTAGAGAGGCAGTTAGATGAAGCATTGGAGAGGGCGTGTACTGCGGAAAATATAGCCAGTGATCTCGAATTGAAGTTGACCAAAGTCAAAGGAAAACACGAAAGGGTATGTTCTATCTATAGGAACAATGAAACATTAATATTACTGAAATATCTTGTCATCCAATTCACGGATAATGTGATTGTAACAATTAGTATGATATCAAGCTGAATGAGTTTAAAAGTGTACGATGAATATGATTTCAATGCCATATAAGTATATGCTATTCCACATAAGTTATCAACGTATCCTGTTTTGTCCTTTGTTTATGTAAATGAAAATGATCGTATCATTATTTGCAGAACGTTGATGAAATCAAAAGTCAGCATATTGCAGTGGAAGTACCCTGCGTGCAGAGTCTAGTTAAACTACACTCTGCCTAGTAAAGACCATATTGCAGTTTAGTAGCCCCGCCCCCACGACGGGTACCGGTGACAGTTTGGGTAATAAATCACTTTTGACCTACGCGCTGACCTTTCCTCCATCAATCAGCGAGCTTGAAGAAACATACGCCAAATGCGTTCTAATTAAATATGCGCGTGTCATTGGTCAATTCCGGGCTCAACGATGACGTCAGAAGGAATGACCATATATAGAACGTCGGTCAAATCTGGCCGACGAACACTGATTGGCGCGGTGAGTTCACAGGTTTATTTTAGTTTGAAAGAGTGAAGACGAAGCTCTCTTTTAAGAAGTGAAGTCAAACGAATGCAAAGGGTACAGTGGAAGTAGAATTGCGTAGAAAGTTGAAGGACGCACGTGAGTGTATTGAGAAGAAAGCAACGAGTTATTCACAAAGGGTGGCCTCATTAGAACACGAGCTGCGACAGGTAATCTTTGGATCACCATTGGCTTTCATTTTGATCGAAAAGTGGTCAGCTATAACTGATGGATCTAGCCCCCTACTTAAATGAACCAAGAAGCGCGGATTTATTATCTCATTTTGCATTTGCTCTTCCCTTCCTTTGTTAGCTTCTGGATCCGCCAGTGGCTATTGATAATAAAATCCTTTCTATTGCAGGGAATGTAAACACTGATTCAATTATTAGGAGGCTTTACAAATAGTCAGATTGGGAGGGTTTTCAAATTGTTGAAGGGGATTGTATGTTTACTGCATACATTTTCCGCACCTATAATATACATGGATCATTTTTATAACTTCCAGATGAGAGAAAAGACTATCACTCCAAATGCAGATACGTTTACTTTCACTTCCACTCTAGAGGATGATGACACGCTATCTGTGGAAATACCTTTAGGTAACAATCTTACTATAGTTTCTCAAACTGTGCAACGTTTTTTTGTCAAACTAGTCTGATCCAATCCATCTTTTACAAGAATCCAATATTTTAATCTCTACCTAGTTTAAGCGACATTTGAAATTTAAAATACTGCTTCAGGTACACCTGTACACATTTTTTAAATGCACTGTAACTTCGGAATCATCAGAAAGCAAGTAATAATATAAAACAGTGTCAATACATTAGAGCATTTGTTTTGGTATTTATTGAACGACCCTCGTATATATTATATAAGAATAAAGATCGATTACCTTTCAGCTAACTTGGGCCAAGAGGATGAAGATATACCACCATTAGATAAACGGGGTAAGTATCTAAATAAAGTGAAGTCCAACCTCCTACATTTTAACTGTTAAGATCTGCTCCAATACAAAACTACACTGTTACACAACCTTCATAGACCACGTGTTATAAAATCATAAAAAGTGAAATATATTTTCTTATATTGGCCAGATAATATTTTATTTTATCCCGTGGTTACAAGGATAAAGATCGAATATCAGGTGAAGATATATTTGATATGTGGATCAAGATATCATATTTTAGCAAAAAAATCCAAAAAAACATCGAATATCACTTCTCGAAAATTGATATTCGATGGTTTAAAAAGTAATATTCGATCGATTCAAAAGTGATATTCGATGGTTTAGAATTTTTTCGCTGGGTTAAGACTTCCCATGGAATAAACGGACAGTCCTATGGTTTTTCAAAAATATCAATTATATCCACTCAGAGATATCGATATCTTCACTCATTATATTCGCTGCGCTCACTCATGAAGATATCAGTATCCACTCATCGATATATCCACTCATGGATATAAATGATATTTTTTCAAAACCGTAGGATATTCCTATATTATTAGACTTATTTTAATTTGTATAACTATCATATACATATGGATATATAATATGATAGAAAACCACTAAAACTGATGAATATTCAAGTTTAACAATGAGTTGAAGAAAATAGAAGACCGCTTATTTTCCTACTTTTCTTTATATTCTACCATTTTCTAGCCTGAGCAATGTCTTAGTATGCAAATAAAGTGAATGTGATGGTCCAAACTTGGAAAGTCGTGTCTTGACAAAAAAAGAAATAAAACTTCAAATATACATTCAATTTGTATTGTCCTTATCTTCCATGAATATAATGAACTGATATGGCATGCTAGAAAATTATGCGACCCCTAGGTTATTTTCCTTTCCAACAAAACCATCTGAAAAATTCTCTGCTTGGAATATGACAAGTATATTTCTTGATGAGTTGTCTCTCTAAATATGCTTTGCTTTTATAATTTCAGGATATTGCCCAATTTTTTCTTTATGTTCTTTATGTGTACTAAAATTGTCAACAATTTATTTGCAGATTCCAAAAGGAAGTCAGTACAAGAAATATCTAAAGTTTGCAGTTCAAGTAAGTAGTCCTCTATTTCTCAAAAGTATGGCTTCAAAAAAGGTAATTTTCTGAGGAAGCACACACCAGTTGGAAAATGTGGTTCGTATTAATTATACTGATGCCTTAGGACGGATCATATGCAACTGGTTAAACGAGATCAAAATTGCCACCTTTTTTATATCAACATATAGCAGGGTATAATTTAAAGCAGAATGAGAACAATACAGTTTATGTATGTCGTTTGGAAAGATTATATTATCTAAGCTTAACAGTGAAGCAAAAGTATATTGTGATTATATTCTCCAAAATAGACATATAAATGAAAATAAATGAACACGGTAGTAGTCGTGTTAAAGAGAAAAATATTGATCGAATATACACATTATATCATGAGAAATCGTTACATGAACATATGTTATATCTGTATACAATGTATTTTAGAGAAGCGAGCGACCAGCACATCTTCTGGAGAGATACAACCAAAGGTAAATCAGGTGTAACCACATACAAGTTAAATTCTCAATAAGGTGCTATAACCAATTCCACATTTAACACAAGATTATAAGTTTATTTTACGTTTTATGTATGTAATTTATGTATAACCTTTATGTTAGTTTTGACGACTCGAGAGCGTCCATGTTATATGATCGTCCTTCTCGTTCCAGGTCATATGCATTAGATATGAAAGAGATATCTACTTTGCTGTGTTAAAAGGAGACAAGATCACATATTGCGCTCGCAGAATTGCAGCAAAAGCAGACATTAACAACGTTGGAAAATTGACGCCACCAATGCTGAAGGTCAATGAATTTGACAAGGCAGACGTGTGCGATGTGTCGCCTAATATGTATCGAATCATAGACAATAAATACGTTAAGGCTGTTACTAAGACAATTGTATTCACTTTCCCTCATTTCACTTTCCCTCAGTTTTTATCTTATTTATCTTCTTTGGTTTGTCAACTTTAGTAGCATAGTTACTTTTCATTGGACATATTTTGTTAAAAGTGAACAATTTGAAAGTAAGAATTGTTCATACATTAAATGTGCAATGAATCATGATTTTTAATTTTCCAGAAGAAGGGATTTTGTTGTTAAAGTGATATATTTGCAGAAGCAACAATCTCATTATCTTACAAATAAAATAAAAGGCAGTTTAAAAGTTTGTCTTTCACTGGAGTTATGCTCTTTCTAAGTGAAAGCGGGGGGATTCCAAAATGCCATGAATTCAGCTTATCATGAATTCAGATATTTCAGTGACTATTAATCAGAGAAAACTGGAACTATACAGGTAAAATCTATCTATTTTTCTGAGGTTTGACAGAAAATCACCAACAAAACAATTGAGAACAAAGCAAAAGTGTGTATCATGTTGAGCATGTTCAAACGTAGGATTTTGATGTGCAGAAACTGTTCATTGACAGGTTCATCATATACTTGGAATGTTCTATGAACTATGTAAAATAAGCTCCTTTGAGAATGCATGTTTTAGTTACACACATTACCTGTATAGATCTTCCTAGATGAAATTCTAGGGACAGGTGTCGGGTATGCTATAGAAATTTCTATACAGGCAGCCATTTCTCTAGTATAATTTTTTTTACAGAAACTTGTTAGCTTACCTCCTATAGAAATTTCTATACGGATAGATATCGGATATGCTATAGAAATTTCTATACAGGCAACCATTCCTTTAGTATAGAAATTGTTAGCTTGCCTCGTTTGGAAATTCCCATATAGACAATTATTGGGTAGCCTATACAGGCAACCATTCCTTTAGTATAGAAATCTCCATAGAAAATGTTACCTTGCGTATAGAAATTTCTATATGGACAATTTTCGGGTATACCATAAAAATTCCCCTTGTAAATTTATTACTATTACATTGTCAGCTTACCTCGTATAGAAATTTCTATACGGACAGGTATCAGGGATGCTATAGAAATTTCTATACAGGCAGCCATTATCCTTGTAAAGATATTTCTATATGCATTGTCAGCTTGCAATCGCCTCGTATAGAAATTTCTATACGAACATGCACAGTTATCGAATTCGGAGGCACTATAGAAATGTATCTGCATGCAGCCATTTCTCTAGCTAATAGGAGATACTTTATGAGTGGGTAGCTTGTTTCGTATAGAAATTTCTATACGAACAGTTATTGTTCGCTATAGTTATTATTATTCATGGGGTCATTTCTTCTGGATTGAAATCTGTGCTTTTAAATTGATTTTTAGCAAACAGTATATCGACAGCAATAACTTAGTGTACAAATATAAAGTAAATGTTATTGTTCAATTTACAAATTGTTTATCTGAAATAAAGCAAATCATTTTTAAAATTACATTTTACTATGGTATTTTTCTATTTTTGGACTGAAATTAAAGGAACAAATGGTTTTTTCCTTTATTAAATAGTCAGGACTTAAGAGTTATCTAGCAATAAGGCTATTCTGTAATTGGATGCGCTCGCTCATATTCTGGATCAAGACTATACAATTGAGTTCTTCGGATTTAAACAAGGTGTTTTACTTACAAACAACTGTCTCAATGGACTAATAGAATTGGAAACAATAGAAACAATGTGCGGACGAAACAAAAGACAAGATGGGCAAGATTGACTGATTGGAATAAAGATGCGAGGTGTCTAGATACATTCGAAAAGATGATAGGATAATGTGTGTCGCGCTCTTGGAAAATACTTTATTCATTTATGGATAGCGGAATACAAAACCACATTTGTATGCAAGCGGTGCCATGGAATCAATCATAATTTTCAATATTTCGTAAATAGATAATTTCATTTCTTTTGTCGTGTATTATACAAATCTGAAATTGCGCTTTTTACTCTCACTATACTTCTATATAACAATATTCATACACATACATCATAAATAATATTCTTTAATAAGTCAATGTCGAATTGAGGTTCCCCCTATATGATTAATAGGAGCGTAGATTAAACGCGAAAGGAACACACAAAGGTTAAGTTAATTATATTTATTTAGATATGTCGTTTTCTAATAAAACGCCACAAATATTCATTCCAATGCATTTGTTGTGCAATTTTATTTTTAGCAACTACTCCTTGCAAAAAAAACATTTAAAGAGTAGAATTATCACGTTTTACTCAAAATATATTCAATGATTACCCGTCCAAACGTCAATGATTACCCGTCTATCATCAAAGTTAAATTAACAAGCTTGAGACTAAAAGAGAAAACTATTCCTAGAATTAAGCACATTTCAAAGTCACGTTACACTAACCAGAAGACTTGTGTTTAACGAGGATATGTATCCTATCTGTCTAATATAGGCTAATCAAATCTCTCCAAAAAAGTTATTGCTTTTCAAATCAGAGCTGTCTTGTGATTTTCCAGGCAAATTATCAATGTAGAATCGTATAATTCACCCTTTGGTATGATGAAATAAAGAACAAAGAATAGTTGAATCTGATTACTGATTTCCGTTATAATATATTGGTGAAAATTCGCGCTTAAACATGTAAAAACTGTAACTCGTGATTGAACAATCCAAATCTGATCCATGGTAATAATAAGGAGGTTGAGCTACACGTATTGAAGAGAACGTTTACGTGAATTCGAACGTGAAATATTATGACCAACGTGGATTGATGTCGATCTCTTAATTGGTTTTACCAAAGTCCTAATTACATAATATATTTTCAATTTACCTGTATATTCAATCAGGTAAGTGAAAACTACGAAGAAAATATAGCTAATCCTAGAAGACCATAGTTTTACACGTGCAAGTTCCCTTTAAAACGTGTAGCTTAATCTCCCTAGATTCCTGAGTGTGCGCGTCTCCAAACATGAACTTGCTTACTTTTAGTTCTCCAAAACGGAAATAGACTATCGGGTTTACCTTCAGATGAAACAATTTTATTTATGTCATCTGATACTTTGTTTTAGATTGGAATTCTTTCTTTACCTAGATTGCAGAGTGTATGCCGCTCTGATCGCTTCATCACCTAGAACTGACATTTCACACAAATGTTCACTTGAAAAGCGTTGGCGTAATATGATTTTCCAATAATCGAGGAATGACTTTAGATGATGAGTTGAATACTAATGGACCAATCTGTAAGCGGAATCTGGGTCGTGACACGGATACCTGTTAAAAATGTACTCATAAAATGTTTGAGATGCGTGTATTAAGACGGAGCAATTATCATTACTCCGTTGTTTCATAAAGTGCATTTATAGTAAAGGACGGAAGCCCCCTCACTTGAAAAAGTGTGATCCACCCAAAGCTATTATTTACTAGTGGTATGCCTTTTGTGGTCAATATGGATATACCTGGTTATAGTCTACTTAACCTGACGTGCCACCTGATTTGAAAGCGGTTGGCATGATATGGCTTACGGTTGATCAAACGGAGGCTGAACACAAACAAAAGTACAGGCAAACGATCAAGAGAGAATAATGGATGTTCCTTGGAACTGAATCGATTTTACATCAAACCAAGTACAATGAACTAAGTCATAATTAGATGACAATGTGCACATTGAAAAAAGTGAATACCATGAAGAAAGTGCAGGGATTAGAAATAACGCTAACGAGAAATAGCGCAAAAACTGCGCTACATCTGTACAATTGAATACTACACCTATAGGATAAATACAATAAAATGAGTTCGAGTATGTTAGGTGATGATTTGATGGACCGGCTACATAGCCCGGATATGGAGATGGACACTATGGACCTCCATTACTGGTCATCCATAGGAAATCAGCAGACTCAGCCACTTTATCAAAAACGTAACTCTTCCCCATATGTGCCTCGCAAGATGTCCATGATGCCAAGAACCGACTATTTTGAAATCTATAAAGAAGTTGATAAGGTATTTCCCGAAAACCATCTGTAGTTTAGCCAATTTATTTTATCTTGAATAATCGTAATTGGTATAAGTTCGGCATTTTAGTTCTCAGTCATTTCGTTTACAGATTTGTGTTTATGTACAAGTTTTTTCTCCACGATCAGAATTTCAAGAATCCAGAATGATTTTTGTCTCTTATTTTTATCTTTTCACAAACGTGAAGGATGAACTTTTGTCATCGTACTGTCTCAGACTAGCAACTGGCTCGAATAAGATGAAGAATTATGGCTTCCTATCTTAACTAATTTATCTAGTCGTATGCATTACCTCTTGTCACCTACTTTGCGACTTTGAGCTGAGAAAAGTAGAAAATGTATTTTCTTCAATTTGACCTTGTTATAGCATTCACTACGGTCCATTGATTTCATTCGATTCAATGTTAGATTATTTCTCCCATAGCTACATTTGGACAACCTGGCTATGAGTAGACTCCTATGGTACACACCTTTTTGCTTCATGCATGTATTGTATTAGATTGGATCCATTATTAATTCAGAAGCCGGCGTCTGATTAAAAGTCCAGTTTAATTTATATTTTAGATTAGACATGTTAGAGCTCGAACTTAGCTAACACCTTTAATGCATAGATGTAAATGCACATGAATAAGCTCTTAACTAAAAGGTTTGTTGTATTGCCTTGTTATCGCTCTACAAGAGAAAAATATTTACGCATCAGGAGTCGAGTATGAATGTGGAAGTGTATTACCCACCACATTCAATTCAATTCATTATCAATTGATTTGATCAATGACGATATTTTATATGACAGAAAGGAATAAAACTGTGAGGCTAGTGCGTATTATTTCTCTGCTTTTTCGATCATTTTTAACATCTGGTAATAAAGGGGGAATTAAACGATCCAACTGTCTGTCTCGGTACATTGATTGTAACAACCACCTTATCCATCCCCGATAACCAGATACAAGCCCACATGGCGGAAATGAAACGGCAAATGCAGAGACCAGATTGATTTCATTTTTTATTTGATTCGTGATGGCAGTTGTTCTGGTTAGTGTAGATCTATAGATGTGATCAATCATGCGTATCTCTCGGGAATAACGCTTCGTCCCCTTCATAACTTAACAGAATATGGTAAAATAGCATCTTCAGACTTATGATGAAGCCGTTCCAAATCCCCGTGGATAACTCGAATCATTATCACAGTTTCAATTGATTAATCTTTATCCCGCCCTTTATTATCATAGGTTAAATTCCTAATTGTGTATTTAAATTCGTCCAGTGTGATTTGTTTTTTTGAAATTCTGATAAAATAGAAATATGTTTGTTAGTCTTGCGTCAAGCCCCCTATGTTCCCAGCCCATATTAAGGTTGGTCGGATGGTTTGGTCCTTTACTTGTATTATTCTGGTTTTGAAAATACGCAATTACTCGGGCAATTACTGTTGGATCATGGGGGCAACGACTTGATTCAAGACTTCATGTTTAAAGAAGAGTTTGTCCTTTCAGCATGAGAAACACAGTCGTTTATAAGTAAGCAGTTTGATAATTGCAATATAACCCATTGTTCTAACATATCCACCTCGAAAAAATAAAACGCATTTTTCGGGTTATCAATTTTGGATACGGCCTCAAAGACGTGGATTATAATGTAAACGTATTAGGCTTACAATCATTAATATGACAACTCGATTTGATTTCTGTTTACACGTGTGATGAACACGCAAACCCCATAAGGGAAGCCAGTATCATCCATTCCACACGTCTATCTCCTGAACAGTCTAATTATACCTTAACCAGGCGACCCCTACCCTTTACGTAAACCAACAAACGCTAGATAATTCATCATATTTTCCCACATCCCTGCATGGGGGCGTGATCTTTCTACGATTACTCCATGATCATAAACTATATTGAAAATTCTACACTTCTATATTTGATAAATACTGCCCAAGAAAAACATAGTCAAGGATATGTTACTTCAAGTACTAGTATTTGTGTATGCGCACAACATTCAGTTCGATTAATTGAGTTTTGTTTTGGGGTTATTTCAAAACTCGCGGTAAGCCTGGTGGCCAGGTGCAATCTTAATTGGTAATATATCAGGTGCAAAGAAAGAATGAGTTCGTATTGATTCCCATGGTTACAAAAAAAGTATTTAAATTAGACTTATCAGATTCTGATGCAAGACTAACTTGAATTCGGTGTGCCTAGAGGGTATTAATTCAAGAAATCAAATTATCCAATTTCAGTAAAACCAGAAAACAGCCAATCTAAGATTATAACTTGGTCATACTGAATTATGGTATTACTTGGACAAGTCTTCAAGATTCTGTCAGGATAATAAACCACAGACTAAGTATTCCACCGAATGAAGTTCGGGGGGTATATAGAGAAGTCTGTCAGATTCTGTAAAAACCGCTCGAGAAGGAATTTTTGATTTAGTCGCTCAATATAGATAGATTGAATACCTGTTTATTAGATTTTATCCTTTTTGGGCTAATTTCTTGTCTTGTGAAATGAGCATAGAACCTCCGCTCAAAGAGGAATTTCAAATATGGCCAGCAAATTCAAAACGGCGGCCATTTTCGTAAAAGACACTTAAATGTGCTCAATAAAAGATTTTTGAGATGGCTACTAAATTCAAAGTGACTTCCATTTCAAAGAAATAATTTCTGATAACCCAAATACCATGCCAATTATCGTATTTGATCCGAAATGTCCTTATCATTGTTATTTCTGAGAAAAAAAATTCGTATTTTTAATAGCAATTTTTGCGTGTTATTTAGTTTATTTCAGCCGTCAAAATTCCTCCATCTATTGGAACATCCGGACTCTGCAGCACCAAGTCCGAATATTACGGGGATTCCCCTTCTAAAACCCGCCGCCATCTTGAAAAATGTAATGAAACAGATCCAGTGAGGGAGCATGGGTATTTTGTGAGTGTACGCCACGAGTGATCGAAGAGAACGAGAGAGGAGTTTGGGTGTGGAAAAGATTTGAATATGAGATTGAAATTGTGACTAATATGGAGTAATAAAATGTTAATTATTGCCAGTTATCTATTTTTAAAGTGTGGGGCAATTCAATATTAAAATCGCTTTTTTAAACGTTGAGAGTGCGCCATGGCGTTTTACATATAGATGACGCTACGCCATTGAGATCATTCTCAGAATTAAGTCCTAGCACCGGATATTTTTAATTATATGCCTTCATGCCACTGCATGGATCTAGACTTTGAAAAAAGTTAGTGCAATACTACTGTCTCGTTATGTGATTGTCTACCATGGCGAGTGATTAAATGTTTTGTTTGGTGGGAGATGCTACTCCGGGGAGTTGCTGTTTTCTTGGTTTTAACAAATAAATAAGTTGTCGAGCTGATTTCACTGACTTCAATCTATTATTATCTTGGAAAAGTTTCTATCCTCTTGAGCAAGTTCAGCCAAGTGACAAACACTTATAAGTGCGATACAAAATATAAGATGTAATCCCAGTAATTATTTGGAAGGACGATCACAAAATAACTAGATCATACTTGTTGAAATATGAGCCTCCAATCATTCGCTAAGAATATAAATAATGCTCCCATATAATTTTCAGTTTCTGGACTCCTATTGAATCTTTACATTATGACCAGCTTAGCACTAGTAATATGTAATACAGTCAGTAAGTTTTGATAGCGGCCCATCAGTGTAACCATAATTTATTTTGTTTTTCAGTTGACGGACGAAGAGCGCTTATACCTGAACTCTGCAGCTTTAGCTGACGTAGGTATCATACGTCAAAGCCTGGATGAGAATGAGACTGTCCTCAATTATAACTGTGTGGATTACATGGGACGAAATGCTCTACACTTAGCAGTCGATAGTGAGAGCATAGAAGGAATAGAGCTGCTGCTTGATAAGCTCAGCTTTGAATGCATAGAAGAGGCCTTACTTCATGCTATAAGCAAAGGAGTGACTAAGATAGTGAAACTGATTATAGAACATCCCACATTTATATCTGGCGAAGAGCAATTAAAACGTCAAACTACGAGGGATGCGTTCTTCAGAACTGAAGAAAAGAGTCAGTTTTCCCCAGATATCACTCCATTAATACTTGCTGCTCACTACAATAACCATGAAATCATTCAAATGTTTCTATCTAGAAACCATACAATACCCAGGCCCCATCCAATATCATGTACGTGTAATGACTGCCAAACTAAGCAGAACTATGACTCTTTAAAGAGGTCAAGGTCACGGTTGAATGCATATCGAGCTCTTGCTAGCCCTGCATATATGGCTCTCTCCAGTCCAGATCCAATTATGACCACCTTTGAACTGAGACAAGAGCTGAAAAAACTTGCACTCGTAGAAAAAGAATTCAAGGTAGGGAACACTCAAAGGGAGTGTATGATTTGTTACTTTCTGTGTAACACTTTATTTTGAGTATTATCATTATGTACGTTGGAATGTTTCCTTCCTGGTTTCCCAAACAAGAAATCCTATCGTAAATTACACCCTTCATCAAATGTATGTAGAGAGATTGGAAATGGGTTTATTCGTGCTCTTCCTAGCTTTTGATGTTAAAGTGTGCTTCTCGCATGAACCTTACCACCAGTTTTCCACGATAACGTTAACGAAGTGAAGACAGATCCCCGAAGTGGAACGAATGTTTCTAATGTTTTGGATTGTAAATAAGACGTGCTGTCATTAACAAGTCGTTAACCTTAGAATATCAATGATAAAATTTCGTAAATTTATAGTTTGGTGGATTTAATTGATTTCAAGACTGCTCAACGAACTCATTGGAAATGTGGAGGTCGATTACGCTAACTATCTTGCGTCAATTTATCAGCGCATGATAGCTTCCGAAAGAGGAAACAAGCAGGCGAAACTCATAGGGGGATATGTGATGTAGCCTACAAGGGCCATTTTATTCTAGTGGGGTTGCTGATTTTATACCAAGAATATAGACTTTCCAAAATTGTTTTGAACGAGTGGTCAAGAGTGGTGACTTGTCAGGGTGTCTGGATTGTTCAAATGCATGTAGTTCCGAATGGACATCTTCATACTAGGCATACGCTTCATTTTATTTTGTCATTCATTACGTAATGGAATTATTTTTTCAATATGGTTGTCCCATCTTATATATTTCTAAACAACTAAACTAGTACACTTGTCTTATGGACATACACCATCAGATAAAAAGGCATGATTTACTCCTTTTAAAAGAGGTGTAGATAACTTTCGGCTTTTCTAGTTCGTATTCGAAACGGCTGTCCGTATGTGCTACTCGTTGGTAGTTAGGTAGTTAGGTAGTTCAAGTATTCCTGACTGACTGTCGCAACACATTTCTTCCTTATTTTCACCTTCATTCATATTTTCCAAAGGGTCATCACATTTTTTATTACGCTCATAATCGTTTCTTGATCTCCCTCTCCCTTCATTCAGTGCTTCTATAGTGTTCTTCGTCTCCTCTAAGTCGTATAGCATATTGGGCCGTAGGTATAAGAGGCGTATTGCGCTAATTTTGAAGAATGGACTATCAGCTTTGGGAGGTGCCAGATGAAATATGAAACGTCATCCGGATTTAATTACTTTAGGCTGGAATGAATCAAAAGGGAATCGCCACAATACCTGTTTTAACTCCCAAGGCCATACATAATACGTATATATCTAGTTAATACTCAGGAACTATGAGTTCATTCAATTCATTCAAATCCGGCTGTTCATTATTAATATCACAGGGTATTCACATTTCATTATACAAACAGTCTCAATGTGTCGGTGCCTTGTTTCTAAGCGGGATTAACAATAACCTAGGATCACTTTTGATCATGAATCATAACTACGAGGAGACATTTCAACATTCCCAAGGGTTGTGATATTATGGCGGTCGCGTTACACTCCTACTATTTGACGTAACGACTTAGGCTACAATTAACAATAATTGAAGGTTTAGGAGAGACGAACACTGTTATTCCCAGAAGGGTTTGAATAGAAATTTTCCTTACACCAGTCTACCTTATAATCGAGGTACGTAATTGCCTCGTTTAGTCTCGGAGATGGAATTTAATTGTACTGAGACGTTTGCTTACTTCATAGATTCTATCTAAGGTTAGGTATTGATCATATTATAGCCTACTCTAAATATCATTTGTTGATTTGTTGTTATATGACCTCCTAACTTTTTTCATTTCTCTGCCTCCCCCCCCCCCCATTCTTCCTCCAAATCTCCGCCTCTGCCTGCTATGTGACAAGGTGACCCAGCTCCTGTGAATGTGACCAAAGTCGACATATCGGAGGTATTTAAAAGACAACTTAATGAGCATGCCTAATATCTCTTAAGATGAAAGCAGTGAAAGTGTCAAGAACAAAATTAAACAATTCGTTCCGACTGTCTATGGATGCGACTGAAGATGACTTAATCAATCTAGTAATCAAATCATATGACAATTGAACATACAGACAATTTATAACATTTGACTAATAAAATTAAATAAACTTGACAAAATATGGCATATTTAACATCAGCTGACATCATTGGATATTAGGCATAAGATACATAATAGAGACTTAATCTTGCAAATGAAAGAGAGGCTGTTCCAATTACATTAAATATTACTGAATGGGCACCATTAGCTAGCCAGGCCCGCTTCTGTCTCTTACGAGGAATAATAAGAGGGCGCGGAATACCATAATGGGCGTTATCCAGTTACGCCCAGACCAAATGCAAATATCTAATTCGAGGGGTGATCAATAAGTATTGGACACTTTCTACACAGATGCTTCTTGAAGACTAATCTCATTTCTTTTAAATCACCCTCACATAGCAAAATGTTCCAAGTTGCTGCTAGTATCAATACATTATCAGAGTTGATATCAACTGGCACGCGAGATTCGCAATCGAGACACTGCCCTGTGATTTGCCTGGAGACTTTCATATCTGAATAAAATAAACAAAGGATTATCGGCTGTAAACGCCCCGAAACAAATTTCGATTCGGTAAATAGAAACTAGAAAACAGAAAGTTTGATTATCTGCAAATGTCATGATTTAAAGCGTTTGTTGTAATCCCGATGCTGTTTGTTGCAGTACTGATGTTAATAAAATCACAATAGCAGTGTTCAAATCTGTAAACAGATCTGTGATTTTCCGGAGCAATTCGAATGAAGATTGTACAAGTTGAAACGATTCCCAAATGGAAATTGAAAAACAACAATAGATCTAAGGATGAGGGAACGCTTCCTAATACATATACAAACAATAATGAGACTCAATCCTTAATTGAAAATTGTTGACTAACAAAGTAGAAAAGATTATTGATCTTATGGTGGAATTACGATCTCATTGTTTACGAAAGCTAGAAATAAGCTTTCAACATTCCTGGCAAGCCCGACCAGTGCTTGCTTGCCAGATGAAAATTGTTGGAAATAAGATCCTTTCCACTCATCTAACATGATAACATGATCATTATGCTTAGGAATTCCTTGCGTATCACTAGCATATCTTTTAACCTGTTCTCACTTAGTAATCGTTTGTTTTACTTGTTCGCTCCCGATATTGAGGCTTGAATGGTTCGTCATGCATGGCTGGTTACACATAATATATAGTCTTGGGTAAAAGCAGATGTACCATAACACCAATAAATACGAACCAAGTCAGTGTGACTCTTTTAATTGCAAACTATTCATCTTAGATATTTTGATCAGTCAATTTTAATAATGCCAGCCATTAATCTGATTTGTCCTTGGAACAAAATAGCACGTAGAATTAAAATGAATTCCACGAGATATAAATAAATAAGCAAGTAACCGTTGATGCCTTATAACTCCATCCTTGCGTGAACCACAATTTCCCAATGAAATTTCCCAACACCATTTGTCTTTGATTTTTCAATTGCTTTCGACTCGGCTATTTATGATCTTAATGTAATGTGTCAGCTTAAATGTTCAGACAATAACGTTTTATGGTCTTTTATGCATTTTGATTCATAAGAAGGGCAACCAAACTCTCTTTTAGCTTTTACTACCATCATGGCCAGTAACGATAAATCCCAGAGGCATACTAGATGGTACTGTATTTACAGTTTCCTGTAGCGCATAGATAATGAATAAGCCTTTTTAAATTAAAATAATAAACAAATACAATGCACATGTTTAAAATTAGCGAATATATCGAAAATCAGTGATTCCAAACTTTTGGAATGGATATCAAACATACCATTGATGTTATCACCCATAGTCTTGCGTCAAGACCCTCAGACCCCCTATGACAATAGTAGAGTTGATAGGGGAGGGATCCAAGGTCATGAAGCAAGTTTTAGTCCCTGTTAATGGTGGAGAGCTCAGAGAAATGTGGAGCATTTATAGAAACCAGAACTGCATTACTGTTTATAATGCATGGTTTATATGTTTATTTCTTGTTCATATTCTTGTATTTTATGCCCTTTTCCCATTGTCTTCAAACTATTCACAAATTGTGTTTCAGAAAGAGTACCTCGCACTTTCAGAGATGTGTATGAACTTTGCCTGTGAGTTGATGGACCTGTGTCGGGGAACACAGGAAGTAGAAGCTGTGCTCAGCGAAGGCGATCCTGACCATGGCAACGACCCTATCGCAAGACTGAAAATGGCTATACGATATGAAGAAAAGAAGGTTGGTTCTCTTTCCATGTTGATGTAACGTTGCAAAAGTAGATAGGTGGTGGAACGGAAATCTACCATAGATATCTGGCCAAACTTCGAGAACATCTAGTAGCTTTCGATCCTCCAACTCTTATTGAGTACTTTGACTTGTATTATAAGATTATGCTCCTATAACCGGTTCCCATACAGTACGTATATCATAGGTGAAATTGAAGTACGGTGATGCAAACAACCGTACAAACAGGAACCTAACTTTCAATTCCATTCAAATTCTGACCATGTCATTTGGCGGAAAAAATAAGCATAATTTGGAATCATATGGTTCAAGTACTCTTGTACTTTTACTCTCATTGTCGCGTAATAGTCTCAGTAGTTAAACCATATACACCCAAAAATGTGATTCATTCATTCTCGACACGCTTACGCGGTCCTAACTTCGACCGTTATTTTGAATTTTTGACCTACCGGATGTTTGAAAATCAAGGATTACGAGTCTCACACTGCACCGTTTTTCTTTAAACTTGTTCCATTCAAAGCATAACAAAAATTCCTTTCTGATGGTACATTATTCTCTTAAACAGAGTCTCTACTTCCAGCGGCATTTTGGTCCCCAGCTCTAAGAAGGCCTTCTAACAGCTGGGGACCAAAACGCTGCTAGGACGAGGGACTCTTTACAATAAAGCAATGCACCGGCAGAAAGGCAATTTTGTTCTGCTTTTAATGGTATAAGTTTGAAGAAAAACGGTGCAGTATGAGACTCGCAATCCTTGATTTTCAAACATACGGTAGGTCAAAAATTCAAATTAACGGTCGAAGTTAGGACCGCGTGACGCTGTATACACAAAAAGGCTTCTAAATTAAAGCACACCAGAGAGGAACCTTATTACACACAGATAGCCTCATCATGGGATGTATATTTCCTGTAGGAACCACTTACCTTGAGTTTATGTGCGGAAAAGACTAAATAAACCTTATATAGAGAGGGGAGGTGAAAGGTGCAAAATATCAAAGAACAAGTACAAATCTCATGCAGCTAATTATGTAACCTATTCGTTTCATATCGATTCCCTTTCCTATCGATTCCCTTCTACATGTATATCACAATGTACTACAACAGTACTTTCTAAAACAAGATGAAAAACCAGAAATATAACCAATGATGTCGAGACGGCTTGTCTTTTAGGAGCTACATAGGCTACAGACGATCTTTGAAGATTCTTTAAGCCAAGTTAAGGCATTAAACTCATTAAAATCTGGGCGGGAAAATCTGATGGGGAAATTTGTTATGCTTGGATGAGATAAAATATATCTGAGCCCAACATGCATCTCAGATAGTTCTTGCTTATGGTTGGATATAGGAAATATATGTGGTGTTGCAATTTGATCAAGTTGTTTCGCTATTTAAGGATATCGTAGGCGAGTGTAAGATGGTTACCAGGGTTGAAGGTATGTAGTTGCCCTTCTAGCTTTAAAATACTTCTTTATAAGTCAAGAGAGGATGCCCGAATCGGTTCTTCAAACTGATGCCCATGTTGTACCCCTTTCTATCAACTTTACTACTAATAACAGGGAAGTCCCCAGTGGATTCCCGATGGATCGCATCTCTCTTTTTGAGCCTTACTTTTCCCCTTGGATTTTGTTCACGTTGCCTGCTTCAGGCTTATATACAGTGCTAGCCATTATGATGGATACGTTTTCCCCTTGTAAAATTCCCGGGATGCCCCTGAACAATAAAATGAGCACTTAGACACCGTAATACTTTATAATATATAATTGTAAACGTTCATTTCATCTATATGAGTTTTTATGTTGTGACATTTTGGTATATTAATGTATTCTGAATATTATAATTGTTTTGTACGCGGACAAAAGGGCGATTTCTACAGATTTTATTTAGTGTCATCTTAACCAACGGAATAAATCAACAACATAACAATAAACCTTTTTAATTAGCCTAAAGCAAAAAAAGCTATACTTCAACACTAAATCATTATGGAAACCCAGGTTATTCACCGCACTGAAGGCAGGCGAGGGTGACTTGGGCTGGTGAACGTGCGTTTGAAACATATGTTATGTAACAGCACAACATAATGAAATAAAAGATTACGTACGACAATGAAAACGTAACTCTCGTAAATAGTGAATTGAACGAACGCCTGTAAAAATGAATGCCACTTAAGGAAGTGATGAGCCCATGTTCAGCAATATAAATAACATTAATAATTGTGTATTCCAGTCTAAATGTTGTAATAATAGCATCAGAAGTCGGCTGTTTCTCTGTATTGGTTAACTTTCTTTGAAACAGAGCTATCATAAAGATGACAAAGAATCCAGAGAAGCGAGTTATCTTTATATTTATGATTTATGGCATGTAGAGCAGTTTTGCAATTTCAGATCTAAATCGACCTCACACGATAAGATACGAAATGAATTCATAAGAAATGAAGTAATAATCTGAAAGATAGAAAAATCATTCGTCCTTGTCAGCTCTCCTTCTTTATTGTTTCTATTCGATTTCTTTTTATATAATCCCAAATATGAAAAATATCATTACCATAACCCGCAATACATTTGACTAATATATAACTTGGATGGTATTTTAACAAATGTGAAGATCAAAAACGGTAATCGAAGACCATAGTTTTAATTATTTTGATTGTTGGTATTTTCTCATTGCTCCTCGCCAAAAAATGAATGAAATACGCCAACAAGAATGATTATTCTTGTACTAGTACATTAAAATTCGTTTCGGTCGGTGATATATCTTTATAAGTAAAATCTGTTCAAGTTATCAGACATGGTTTACTTCAACTCCTCAGATGATCTTAAAACTTCATAATAATGTCAAATTTACGAGTCTAATTATCGTTTTATCATTTTAGCCACACAGAGCTGGACTCTTCCCGGTTATATGTGAGTTATTATGTATCATGGAAACTGGCGATTGATTTCGAAAGTATATCTAGCATGAGCGATCGCTCCTGGAGATTTTCTTGTAGGGCTTCCATGAGTAAGAAGTATCTAAATAGCGTATCACGAGGCCAAATAGTTGGGGCTGTTTTCTTTGCAATCGTAGTCATATTATCTTCTACGACCTCTTGCCAGGTCATGCCGTCTTGGGCCTCTTGTATCACTTGTTCACTTACAGCTCTTGTCAGTTCATTTGTGTCAATGTCTATCACTCCACTGGGGGCTACATTTAAGTGTTGGGAACTCTGTAGCATCAGAGCTGCCCTGTCGTTTATAGTCATCGAGTGACGCGATTGTTCTGTAGGTATTACATTCATTCCTGGTAATCCTAGACTGATCGAAGAGTAGGGCATGGGTTGCAATTGTAACATGGAGCTTTGGCGGATGTCCAAAACATGCCCCGATATGGTGTTACTCTGTCTCCTGTCGGCTTGTTTATTCAGTACTTCGTTGAATTTTTCCATCTTCATGACATCTTGTTTTACATTTTCTAATTCTTTGACTTCTTGCACGAGATCGTTTCTTATACTTTGAAAGTTGTTCACCATTATGCCGACGAAGATGTTTCTGAAGATGAACGAGCCAATACAAATCCAAACAATAATGTAGAACGCGGAGAATGCTGGGTCGGCTACTTTTGTAATATCAGACATGATATCGTACCAATGGTCAAGAGTCAGTAGCTGGAATAACGTGATCAAACAATGGGGTATTGTGCTAAAACTCTGCTTATATTCAAGATCATCGCGGTTGCTGTGTGTGTATTGATCGAAGAATATCACTCCTCCAATGGCAAAGATGTACGCGAAGGTGAGAAGGAGAATCGTAATGGACGCCATCGCCTGAAATGCTTTCGCCACAGCTAACGCAATCAGTCGAACTTGACGGAATCGATTGACCATTTTCAAAGATCTAAGAATACGAAATACTCTCAGATTCTCAGCAATGACAGCAATGCCGTCCGTATCGCTTCCTGGTGTTTTGGAAAACTTAATTATTTCAGGGAGGAAAGAGAGAAATGTCACGATAAAGTCAAATATATTCCATCCACTTTTCCAGAAGTCCCAAAAGTCGTCTATCCATTTTAAGACTATTTCGATAACAAATACAAACAAAGTGACGTAATCGATGATATTCATCATAAGTTTGAAAGTTCCGATAGCACCTTCTGAAGCCAAATCTTTAACTTCAGCCTGAATACCAAGAATAACTGAGTTTAAAAGGATTAGAACCAGCATCATGTTTCTAAACATCGTTGTCTGTAAAATTCTATGGGCAAATATTTCGGGACGAATTATTCTTGCGTTTTTGTTTTTCACTCTGTTTGCTCGACGATCTGATTGAGTCAAGCCGACCTTGTCTTTAGTATTATATACGATAAACTTGACTAGGCTATGCGGCCCTTCTTTGAGCATTTTGTTCATAGCAGTTGAATCTTCCGAAATTTCATTTGAATAGTACTTTGGAGCTTCTAGATGTCCCTTATCGTTGATACTGTCCAACAAATGAAAATCCTCAATCAGTTTGGAACGGAATATTTCAGCCCTGTTTGATAATAGATCAGTAGTATCCGAGGCCAGAGGTTCTGCACCTGGGGCTGAATTGGAAAATGGGTCATGCATTTGTTTTGATTTGATAGCAGCCATCTTGGTAGTTAGATTATATGACGTCATCGACATAACATGACGTACACAAAATACAAGGGACTTGTCATTTTCTGTTTCGCATGTATAGGCTACTGTTGACTCAAGATCAGTCATATTATTGTCTAACCCTATTTTTCATTGCAGTTCGTGGCTCATCCAAACTGTCAACAACAGCTCACTACGATGTGGTATGGTGCCGAGATGGGCTTTTTACAATCGCTGAATACGCTCAGAAAAGTTTGCTTGATAGTATTTGGAGCTCCCTTAGTACCATTTTTGTGTATAGCTTACGTACTCTTTCCCAACTCCAAGGTAAGAGTAACTAAAGTACGTAAAGAGAAAGAGGTATTTCTAAAAATTGTAGACGTGTACCTTTTCAAGCCTGCCTATCTTCAACACATAACATGTCTCTAATAATTTATAAAACATTTATCTAAATCACAAACTAATAAAACAACTTTTTCATATCAAACTTGTATTCTATCAAACATCTTTTGTAACCATGTATCCTTATGTCACATGCTTTCTAAATACATGGCTATGCATTACTCTCACAATCAATATATTGAAAAATGCAAGGTATCGGTTTTTGCAAACCCCTTCTTTCTGTCTCTTCCCCCTCCTTGCATCTACACTGTAAATATCATATATAAGCTTATTGAATGATTGCCTGTATAAATTCTAATGCACATGAAAGTCATTATTGTGCTTCAGCTTGGATCCGCACTACGTTGTCCCACAGTCAAGTTCATTACGCATACTCTCTCTCACTTCATCTTCCTGGTGTTATTGGCGGCTGCTACGTTCCGACTCGAGGAACGCTTCCACCCTATCCACAGCGTTGAAGAGCTGAAGGAATCTTCGAATGACAAGTCTATTCCAGAGGACGAAAGGATAGAAAGTCTGTTGAAAGAGACACTACGCCCAGCAAATACATTAATCACAAATGTTCAACTATGCATCGTGTTTTGGATTTTAGGTAGGATTGAAAGAAGCCTACACGATTTAATAGATTATGATAATATTGTTCGCATTTTAAAATTTATAAATTAAATGATCATAGTAATTGTTAATTATTTTACAATCTTTTTAATGTACAACATTCACTGTAAAAAGGAGTGTAACTCCTATACATTATGAGGAACAATGATGCTAGCTCAGGGAAGAAATAAAGGACAGTATACTTGTGGCTGTTATTTGCTCTCATCCCAAGTAACCTAAAATATGTAACACTTTTAGTGTGTCGGGCCAGATGAAAATTTATTGAGCCATTGAAACTACCATACAACGATCTGGCTGGCATATTTTGGATTGTTAACGCAAAACGAAAGTTACAAATATTGGCATCTTGGCTCAACCTGTGCAAATGGCATTGGATTTAAAATATTACTAACGCTGATCAATTTTCTGGCCACTCATTAAATTATATATTTTTCATTTCAGGGTTATTATGGATAGAATGTAAACAGGTGTACAACTCAGGACTAAGAGCATATGTATTAGACTATTATAACTTTATGGACTTCAGCGTCCTCTCCATGTATATAGCTTCATATTGCTTGCGCTTCTTCGTTGATAACTGGGTGAAAGATGCAGATTTGCATTTCAATGGAACTGCCAGGGCCAGAGAGGCATTGTTTCAAAAGAACTATGAAAATTTCACAGAGATAGAGAAAAGCATCAAAGGCTCTAGGCATTCCATGCGAGACACATATTTTATGGAGGCGTGTAAGTATCAGATTCCCCAACAGTATCTTAAATGTCATATCAATATCATAATGAAAAATTCAAATTAGTTGAGTAAGGAAGGGATCTCAATGAGGCAATTTTAATTTTGCCTTTGGAGTACCATTGGAAAGAGGACGTTAAACATTATGCCAGGGACTTTACTTGTTGTAGAGTTGATGAGAAGGTACCTTCAGAAATAGTTTTTAAAAAGTTAGTAAGCAAATGTGATTTTATGAAATGCATAGATCCTGAACAAATTAAATTATGGATAGAATAGATTCTAAATTGCTCAATTCATATGTTCCAGCTCGATTTGACTGGAGAGCTGATGATCCCGAGATAGTATCTGATATATTATTCGCCATAGCTAACGTGATCAGCATTGCTCGAACTACCTACCTCATGCCAGCATTTGAAGTGCTCGGTCCGCTACAAATATCCCTGGGTCGTATGATTGGTGATATTACCCGCTTCATGGTGTTATTCTTCTTGGTAAGCTATATTTAATTAAGAACTTTTAAAAACACAAAAAGTATCATTCCTCATGAATTACCAAAGAAAAATATGAAGGGCGTTAGTAGTATATGTAGTTCATTTGCACCCCATTTACGTCATTACGTCGTAGTGGGATAAAAATAGTAATAGCTACTTTAAATTAACTGTTATTAAGTCCCTGGACCGTTAGAATAAAATGATTTGTCGTAACTCTCAGTATGAATTTTATTCTTTAACCTACATGCTTTATCAATGTCACGTATCTGTCATAAAATATGTAAATATTATGTAAATGTAGTATAGCGTTTGATCTTGTGGCCCACTGTATTTCACATAGCTAGTTTGTAAAATATAACGTGCTTAGCTAATGTTTTACTGTGTACGTAAAGTATGCAATATGATTTGATGTTTTTGTTGCAGGTTCAGTTTAACTCAAAAATAGATTTATAGGCTAACATACCATGTATACATACCGCAATCCATTGTTGCATGAATAGGCTATTGCAATCGCTAGGCCATCTATTCCCATGTCCAATACCATTACTTCAGATAAAAAAATACAATCGAATATATGCATGAATATTGACCTTATGTAGTCGTCATTGACCCATGTTTTCGTCATTCCCTCGACATGAGTATTCCTAGTTCTACTGATGATTAACGGTAATTAACGATGATTACCGATAATTGCCGAAAATTATATATGATTATAGCACCTTTATCATGAACTGTTTGCTCTCTAGGTATTATTTGCATTCATGGTTGGATTACACAATTTATATTGGTACTACGGTTCACAGACATTCACGTCCACAGGTGAAGATGGTATCGGCATTGTTCACCACGCTTCACAGACGTTTCAAGGGTAAGTTTAGGAAACTCGTTTTCTACTATATAGGATATTGTAGTGATCCATCTTGGTATGATTTGTAGGTTCTGTTTGCCTTTATGGTAGGCCTTCACAATTTATACTGGTATTATGGGTCCCAGACGTACCAGATGACCATCAAAGGAACCAAGGTTACCACACATACTTCGGAGGCGTTTCAAGCGTAAGACCTTTATAGATGGTGTTAAATGTGTTATATATACACGCTATGGGCGTGGCATTTTACATTGTTCTAGATACGCATGTTTGGTTTTGAATACATACTAGCTCGCCTCAACACTGAACTAATTGTATACTGATGAATGGGAGTGTTGTATTTTTGTTGTGATTTGATATTCAAACATTGCTTGAAGCTTGACTGTTTTAAGAATACCAGATCACATTATGGTACTACAAGAAGGACAATTTGTTAAATATTGGACTTTCGTGTGAATTATTTTTTTGCCTTGGGTTTGTTGGTAAAGGTCAGAATTAGGTTGGGTGTGTGACTGAGCTCTTACCATTTTTTCACAAATATTCTACCGAAACATCATTTGCAGCGTTATGTCTGTATTATACAAGATGACATAAAAATGCAACCCACTAACAAAAAATATATCCGTAACATCAGTTCATGTCTAATAATTACACATCTCGATATATGTCGTGATTACAAACAGCAGCCATTTTGTCCACTTCAGAATTTGAATTTCGAGTTTTGGTCTTATTTACAGAAAAATCTCAAAACACGCAAGTAGTGATCGAGATATTGGTACGGTTCGAATCATTGGGACAGCTGATTATGAATTTATAGTCAATTAAAATGTCAGAAAATAGCGATATACAAGCGTCCTTAGGACCAAATATCCAAAGGATAGGTATCGATATGGTGAACTGAATTCAACAATGTTTTTCTAATGTTGACTGATTGACAACAATTTTATGCAAAAATCATTTATATATATTTTATATAACTGTTTTTGTTAACATTTTTTGTTCTTTAGTGCAATTGTTTTTTTGTTCCTTTCTACCAATTCTTGAGAATGAAATAAAATGTATTTCCGAACCTTGTTGGAACAAAATGGCATATACAACATTTTCTTAGACCTCTCAATATTATAATTATACAAAAGGAATTTTGGATGATTTTACAAAAAGTATGCAAAAACTTAAAACAAAACCCCCAAAATAGATAGAAATTAAGATAAACATTTTATTTCATTAACAATATACTTTTTTAAAATCAACCAAACTTTCCTTTGTACAATTACAATATTGAGAGACCTAAACACGTTGTGTTTATGCCGTTTTGTTCCATTGAGGTTCGGAAAGATGTTACATTTCATTCCGAACATATGATACCAAGAACAAAAGAAGTGTCTTATGTGTTTTCTAAAACAATATAGAGAAATGTATGTAAATATATTTCAAATTATAATGTTACCATCCAAAAAATGACCATTATTTTGACGATGTGTAAAATTTTCAGAATGTTTTGATGACTGGTTTAAGAGAAACGCGTATTCAAAAAGTTCACCATATCGATACCACTCCTTTCCCTCTATACTTAAATTAATCTGAGAGTCTCAAGCATGTATTTCAACCAAGCGAAGCTGTTGTCGATTTGAAAAAGTATTTCCAACACTAATACCTTGTTTTGAACCTCTATTTCCTATGAGGTGTCATTAGAGAATACTTCAAAGATGATGATGTATATGGAACTAATTTAGAAAAGACCTACTTTGCAAATAAAAGGTTTTGGAAATTGACCCCATAACCTGTATTTATAAGTAAAGTAATGCAAGCAGCAAGACCATGTTTATGCTTCACAGATCAACAGAAAATGCATTTTCCCAAACTGACTACTTTCCCACCAATAAAACTGCACCAATTTTGCGCATTGAAGTTATTCTAAAAAATTGTGGGGTGCATTTTGAGTCAGCCTGTGTAACACTGAACTTCAAGGTTATTGCCATTATTTCTTTGTCATGGACGCACCATAATCGCCATACCAGCATGTGAATGAGAACAAGCATCTTTGCAAACAATGCACGTGACATTCAGCACATGAATTAATGCATTTGCTTTTCTGGACTTTGGATGGCCAAAATACAAATCACATTTTGCCAGGTTCTTGGATTGGTGCTTAAATTTTTTTAATATTCTTCATATTTTATCACTTGATACTGCATAAACATTGTACCGGGTCGTTCAATAAGTTATATACAAAATCCATATTGATCATGTATGTTTTATGTAGCTTCCGTTGACTGATCATATAGAAATATAGACTACATTATAGGCTATATAGATATATTTTTATATTTGTAATAAAGCATAGTGTGCGCTTTATATAACTATTCTGTGACGTCACATAAAAGCGTCAACTGATTTTTTATTGGTCTGTCAACCGAGGTTTCATTAATCAATATTTCTACATATAAATAATTTTTAATGTTGTTTTCAGGATATCATTAACTTTATGTCAATGACTAGCATATGTTGTACACGTATTGTACACCTGTTAATATATATGTATTTCATGCATTATTTTATTATATGAATCACATAAATTGCACTTTATTTATACGAAATATTACTAATGTAATGATCAATTTCTGTATGATTCCTCATTTTTATAGTTTATTATCCCATCGAACGAAGTTCGATATGGATATAGAGAAGCCGTCCGTCCGTTTGTTCGCTCGTCTCTCTGAACGATAACTAAAACAGGAGAATACTTGCTCAGTTCCGAACAGGAAGTCTCCACTTAAATATAGAGACAGGTAGATGGAACAATACACCGCTGCAAGAACGAAAATGTATTCTCTGTGATAATGATTGTATTGAGGATGAGATACACTTTTTGACTCAATGTGAACATTATAAGGACATAAGGAAAGAGTTTTATGACAATGTTAAAGTAACAGCCCCCCATATAAACATTAACTCAAATGATGGCCTGGGTACACTGATCAGTCTTATGCATGACAAAAACATCCAAAATTTATTGGCTTCAACTCTATTTAAAATGTGGCAAAAAAGGAAATTCAATATTGAGAGGGTCTGAAATGATCAAAACAACTGCTCAACAGATATTTATTCTAGTCAACTTAAAATGCTTACTCTAAAAACCTGCTGATATTATATTTGAACAGTGCAATAATTGTATATTATAGAATAGTATATTTATTTAATGGACATTGTTCCAGATTGTAGAAGGACCTAAGTGTCTCATAAGCCGACACCGGCTGGTAGTGTTTTAGTTTACTTTGTATTTGACATTGTATGTATACTTTTAACACTAGTGACACTATAATAAAATATTTTAATAATAAAATAATAACTAAAATACCGGTTGATGGATCGAGTTATATAATTTTATGGGCTTATGCCTTATGGGTATAGGACCTCTTCAATATGACCGCTAAATTTGCGTCTATTTTTCGTAAAAAATGTAATCTTTAATAGCACAAATACTATTTGCCAGCTTTGGTTCAAATTGTATATGCTGATGTCTAGAGACATAGGAATATTGTCAAGGAAAAGATTTTCAATATGGCCGCTGTTTTTCAAAATGGCAGCCAATTTTCGTATAAAATGTAATCTCAAATACTAACGGATGGATTTGGCTAAATTTTTATATGCTGATGACTTGGGACACTGGAGCTCTGCATAGGAAAGAATTATTAAGATGGAAGCTAAATTTTAAAATGGCCGCATTATTTTGTAAAAGAAAGTGTAATCGTTGATATCTAAAATACCAGTGGGCGGATTTGGTTCAAATTGTATATACCGATGCCTTGGAAGTTGGAACACACGAATTCTACTTAAGAAAGAATGCAATGACCGCCATTTTCGTAAAAGAACGTAATCTTTGATTGGTTCAACTTTTATACTGATGGCTTGACACAAAGGAGCTCTGCTGAAGAAGACACTTTCAAAATTGCCATGGCCGCCAATTTTTTAACATATGTAATTATTGATAACTAATAAATAGTAGTCGACGGATTTGGTTCAAGTTTTATATGCTGATGCTCTGCACTGCTTGATATGAAATTTTCAAGTTGACAGTCAAATGTCAAAATGTCCACCATGTTTTGTTAGATGGGATTTGCTACTCCATGGAGTTTCTGTTTTCTAGTTATTAATACTGAGTATTAATTAAATGATGTATTATGTACGTTTCATTATCAGTATGCAATAATAAAGCTAAACACAAATCATGATCAGTCGAGTACATCTAATATTATTGCAATTTTATATTAAGCCCATCCTTAAACGATTACATGTACGTATAAAACGAAAGTGGAGAGAATTTATTAATATGTTGTTAAACAAACCATATTGATCAGTTGGAAGTGGATCTTAATGGATTTATCTAATCCAAAGTTCAATACCTCGTTTAAGTATGTTTCATCCTAAATCTTAAAGGATCTACACCTACTTCTTTCTATTGACTCTAAATACATTTCTTTCAGCTTAGGCCTATACAAACGTATATCCAGTAGCTATTAAACTCTCTTTTTCCATCGTGTCACCCTCTATTGTGTTATAATCCAATATCCATAGACAAGTAATTAACTACTAGAATACCATAATTAATTCCCCTGTAATAATTGAAATGTTTACTCATATTTTCTCGAATTGTTCTTGAAAATTTATTTTCTGATTTTTACATTCTGAAGAAATCATGTTTGATTTGTTGTAATACAGTAATACATTGTAAACAACTAACATATTGATATAAGAAAATCAAATATCATGCTAACATAATAGGAATAACACTCCCCTTCGAGACATGTAACTGGTGGGAGAATTAGGATAACCAAACTTTTGGAGGAGGAGAGTGCATGTTTTCTTGGTTACAAAAATTAAATGACTTATAATGTTTATAAAAAGTGTGCCTTTCATATTGATCATTACTTATTGATTATTTCCACTTTTAGTTCACAGTCAAAATCCTATGTATAAATAAAGAATTGTAGTAAATAATTGTTCTTGCACTGCTATATTGAAGATTTTAGAACTTTTCATAATCGACTTTTTGTTTTACTTAGTTGACAGTAAATCATAACTTATGATATCATCAAATTTTAGATGCATACCTAGATCTCTGAATTAGCAGTCTTTGCAACATATTTTAACCTTCTACAATGCTATTGAATAATTTCAGTATGCAACATACACTGTACAGTTTGTTCTGGGCCATGTTCGGGCTGGTCAGTATTGACAGCATACGTATACATCCACCTGGGGGTAAGTAACAATTGCACATCAGAGACATACTGGTATAGGTTCTTTGGAGAACGATTACCTAGATTTAAAGTGGTATTCTGGCAGTACATTGGCAGTGGAGGATCTGCAATAAAAAAAAATTTTAAAAATTATGTGCCCAAATGGAAATATTACAAAACAAAGCTAGATAATGAACCATTTTAGAGTAAAACCATTTAAGGAATTCATTATACATATACTATATTATGTAATGATCTTCACATTATTGCAGACACAGTTGTTGCACAGGTTTAAAAAAAGCAGTCATTTTCAAACAATGTAGGAAAGACCAAATCCAAAGTCCATAAGTATACTGAGGGTCAACATGTATGAAAGCATACGTGCAATGAACTTATCCACTTTTTCTCTTTTGCAATCTTTGTAACATTGAAATATTTTAATATTATGAATGCATAAATTAGTTATACAATACTACATATTATACATCTTACATGATTTGTACTAGGCCACTGTACTCTGCGATAAACACACATTGTGGTTTTCATTATTTTGAAAGTATTGTAACAAAAACGCTCAATTCACTGTCTTGGAAACGTACATGAAATTCCACTAAAGATTAAAATGAATGATATTGAACATAATCAATATTCTGTCACATCAATCTATACTCATCACGTTACACTCACTTCTTTGGTGCGACAACTGGAGAGAATATAAATTATTAAAAAGCCAAAACAGATATGATTTTGAAATGAGGTTTGAGATACCCCTTACAAATCATATTATAAGCTTAAAAGATTTCTTACCTAAACTTTTTTCAGAAATTATGCTCGTGTAATAATATATACTATAGGTAAAGTATAAAAACTTCAATAATTCCATAACATGTGTTGCAGAACCTCCAGAACTGATACGAAGTGGTATTCCCGATCCCGCAAGTGCGACGCACATGGTAGAGGGAGTGGGGATGATCTTGTTTGCAGTATACCATTGTGTCATCAACATTGTCCTTATCAACATGCTGATCGCTATGATGAGCCATTCGTTTGAAGACATTCAGGTAGATCATTTAATTGAGTATTTAAAGCGTCATTGGTCCAAGACTCATTGGGATGGCCTTACCTTTGTACATCAGTCTTTTGTACATTATTTACTATTTAATGATGTGTTTCCACCTCAAATATTTTAGTTACAATTTTAAAATGGCGTATTAACAAGTATTAGATGGAGTAGAGGTTACACCCTTTGCCAGGCAGATTGGTAGACGTTTTCTTTCAATAGAAGATAATACATGAATATTTAAGCAAATATGCAAAACATGAACAGTATTCAAAGGAAATGCCACAATAGAGTCAATAGAATGATCACTGCGCCACCTATCTGCCAATTAACCTTTGGTAAGGCGGTCACCCTCTCAGTTGCGATCATGTTTCATAGAATTTTGGTTTTAGGGTGACTGTGACGTAGAATGGAAGTTTGCACGTACAAAGCTGTGGATGAATTATATGGATCAGGGTAGCACGTTACCTGTACCGTTCAACATGATCCCTACCCCAAAGTCATTTTGGTATGGTTGGAGGTCTATTGTGGATGTGTGTAGGGGCAACAACGATAGCCTAATGGAGGAGAAAAACAAACGCCAGACCTTTATTAAGGTACATGTACATGTGTTTAATCATATTTACCCCATATGGTATTTTACCAGTAATCAGCAGTTGCTGTAACGTTAGAGATTTTTTCCGATGACACTTATTTTTTCTATATCATAACGTATTTATTTTAGCTTCGGCGAGATGAAGTTTGCCAGACGATGCAGATAGAGGCCCAGGAGACATCATACAATGACATTATGCAGCGTCTAGTGAGACGCTACCTCTTCAAAATGGAGAGGGAAAAAGATGATCAAGGTGAAGGTGAAGCTCCTTTTTGTTTAAGCATAGATGTGGGCTTTGTTAGCTTTAAGAATCTCATTATACTAGCGTTTCCCCAAAGCACTTTTGATGTGTTGCATTTTATGAGAGTTTAGACCTAATACAAGTAGTTTGGAGGTGAAGTAAAGTGAACTTTAACCTGAATCATAAGGCTAAAATACCAAGGGAAATATTCGCCACAACCACATATCATCTAGACAGCATACAGCATCCTTGTGGTAAACCCGGTGTAAAAGAAATTATGGTCCCCTTTCCTTACGGCCCTTACTGGCCCTGACTGTGTATGAATAATAAGGAAAATAATTGTAATTAGATCACCATATAAATCAATAGAGAGTTAGTAGAACCAAATTTTGATAGGACCACCTACCCTTTTACACCGGGGCTGTAAATAACTTGTTGATGGAGCGATCAACTAGTCTTGCAACAAGAACGTGTGCACCCTGTTACTCTAATAAACTTACATGAGTATCTGAGAAAATAGATAAGCGAGAACCCAAATTCTTGGTACAAGACTACCATTGACTTAAAACGTTAATGAAATGACCCATGATTGTAGGCAAGGAGGCTACAAGGGGTATAAGGGCGGACGAGATGGTTGAAGCCACTGAGGGACTACAAATCAGCCCTACTACAACTATACCTGAGGAAGACGATCAGTCAGAGAAAGATAATTATAGCAATGTGTCAGGTGAGAGTCGTCATATGATGTTGTGATGTGATCAAAGTATTATTTTATAGTTAGGGCTAGTAAATAACTGACTATTATTTGAATTTTATTTTTCTTCTCTTCTATTTTTATTCCCATTTCAATGGTGTTGTAGTTTGTGCTTTCTCATTGGTTAAAGTTGATAGATGTTTCAGATGAAGATATAGACAGAAGGAGGGCTTCAACAGTCCCACCTCCGCCACCAGGACAGGGAGATAACCCTGCATCAAAGTTGAAGCGTAAGGCATCAAGGAGGGGACGTAACCATCGGCGCTCATCAGTTACTACATCAACCGGGGGTCAACAGCCAGGAATGCAATCTATGCCATTAGCAAAACAGGTATGGGAATCAGTACTTTGTAGTGTATACATTTAGCATGTAATTTCCATCGCAATGGATTTATTTTGCATTGAATATGGAATTTTAAAAAGACTCACTCAGTGAAAAAGACAGAGCGTTTGATTATGTGTGTTTATTCTTCAGGTTCAAATTCTCTCAATACCACAATTAGACTCTATTCAAAGAGGTCAGAAATTGTTGGACGTGAGACTTCAACATATTCAATCCAATACCCGTGAGGACGAAAAGGTCAAAGATGACATTGACCATATAAGACGCCTCATGTGTGAAAACCAAAAAGCAATGAGTTCCATTGTAAAAGCTTTAACTAGTATACAAGAGGAAATTAGGAACATCAACCTCAATCTATATCACGACCGTTCAACCCCATCACGACGAGATGGAATGATAACGGAAAAGGGCGAGGCAGTTGTGTAATATATGCATTTACATGTATTTATAATTTTATGTATATATTAAAGTCATGTGATCAGAAAAAGCCAAATTGATAATAGGCTACACTAATTAAGGCAATAAAAACTAACCAGATGTGGATTGAGTTACATGTACATGAGATATACACAAGCTTATCCACCAAAGGAGTAGAAGCAATAGCGTGTATGTGGATGGATATACTTCTACTTTCATAATGATGGATTGTACATGCAAATGTTTTTAAGGAAATCATCGTCAGGTTATATGCAATAATATATCGTGATATCTGCATTATGCATGACAAATTTGGTTCGATCTTAAAAGGATATACTCTATAGCAGTCAATGTTATTGTAAGTAACGTTATGTGACCTGGGATGGATGAAATGGATTGCACAAAGCTGCTGTATTTCCGTTATCACAATCATTGTTACTAGTTGGATCCACCGTTTTGGATATGGCTCTAACAAAGCGAAGGAACAAAATTGGCTTCATCCAGTATTTGGATAGTATTGCATGGAAATAAAATGAGCTACAATCATGTTTGGATATTGCATACCCAAGCAAGAAATGAGCAACACATAGCAAGAAAATGAGCAACACATAGTGACTGGATATGGCACAAGTAGGTCAGAAGACCCAACAAGCTATAGTTTGTATTAGGTCTGCCAAAGTAAATAGAAATGAACAATAAAGTAAATAGAAATGAACAATATGTAATGTCTCTTGAGTAACACCATGGACCACTATCCCTATGGTAACATATACTCTTTGATATATGGCAATGGCCTACAAGCACTCATAACGAACCACTCATACTGGTTTGATATGGCAGTGACTGGTTTCAGTTTAATGCAGCTGGTATTCAACTTATTAAAATAATTTTTATGACTAGCCTACATTCATTTTTACAATATACTTTGATTCATAAAATTCCTGGATTAAATGGATTGTATTATAAGCATGTTGTGGAAGTGTACATTCGTATAAAGTGAGTACTCACTTATTTATTGAATTCGTCCTGCAAACCAATTTTTAAAACAGTATATGTTCAATAAAATGTTGAGTAATTACAAACAAATTATGTGTTAATTTATGTCTTGAAAGCAATTACAGATAATGAATCAAAAAGTCACTTAACAACATTTGAAATGAGAAATTGAAATGTTGTGTACCAGTTACTGCATATAGGTGGCACTGTGAGAACGACTGTTTGTATATATATCAAACATTTAGAGCACCTCGACTAAAGTGTAGCACAATAAATTGAGTGCTGTTTATATAAATGTAAAAATGTATAGATAAAATCCAATTCTAATTTGATATTTACATGTATGCTTATAATTTATTTGAGTGACACACATCTGTGTGATGTATATAAAATGTATCTATTTATAAATATTGAATTAATTGAACTAATCCACACGATGTACGTTTAAATAGAACTACTAAAAGCCGTAGTACATTGTAGAATTATTTATCTTAGTAGTGGTTTATTTATTTAGTTTTATGTATGTCTGTTACAGTTAATATTTATATATTTAATACTACTAATCAAGGCAAAAACCGGGTATCGGTACTGTGTATCTAAAAGTAATTTTTCTGCAGTAACTGTTACTGGGATTGCCATTATCTTGTTTTGTAGAAACATGTTTATAAAAAGGATGCTTTCCATGTGTATGACTGTTATACACACAGTGTTCAAAATGACATTTCCATGTTTACAAGTACATTATATTGATGTAAATGAATTTGAGCTATTGTTTTAAAATCATTATTTGTTATTTAGTATTTAATCATTGAATTACAATTGTTCTATTACAATTTAATAAAATGCTACATATTAAACGTGTTTATTATATAACTATGTTGGGGCATGATGTAAAATATCCTGCAATAAATTACTAGTCATTTTTCCAATTTAATATTTTTGTTTCATGTTTCGTAGTCCATTAGTCGATTTGGCATCACGTTAAAAGTGAGACGTATTCGTGCGTTGGAGGTGGTACATATTTTGAGCTCTTTTTGCCCGTACTATACTACTTTCAAGTGTTTTTTAGAATATTCATTAAAGACCCCATATAAAGTTTAAACCACTTTGGCTTATATTGTAGTCTTACCATGGGCTTTCAAGAGGTATAAATATACCATAGTCTTACCAAATATTATCAAAGTGCTATATACTTTTCTTTTTTTAATTTCAAAAGGTGGGTTTTGAAGGACTTTTTGTTCGAAAAATCGTGAATTTATTTAAAATTAACTTTTAAGAGCTATTTTAACAAGCGATAATTCACACCACTGCAGAGCATTCATCCTCATGTGTTTTCGCCAAGAAAAGTAAGAGATTAAAATAACTTTGCAAATAGTAAATAAATGAATGATAAAACATATGTTCAAACTATACATGGGGACTTTAAGTAATGTGTCGTCCCTTAAAGGACATTCATGCATATCAAATTAGATATCGCAATTCTTTTCATCAGAACTGTAATTAAGGATACATTAGCTTGCTTTCTGAAAGGATTGTTTCCGATATTTTACATAATCTATTTCTAACATTCCTCCAAATGACTTTTTGCATACTGTCATACTATTTTAATAGCAATTTCATGGTAATCTTTTTGAAGACTTGTATAGATGGCAGTATAATGTAAATGGGCGACGGAAGGCCGTGGGTGGCAAATAATAAAACGTAAGATTTAAGTAAAATGTCTCAAAAAATATATATTTCCAACTTCAAAACACAGTGTTCTGTACACAATCTATCATATACCTCTAGGCAACTATTGACAAATACTGGGGCAACACCCCAACTCCGATGTGAGTGAATAATACCAAATATGGAACATAAAACATAACATAAAACAAACACAGCATGACACAACATACAAAACAGGTTTAAACAAAAGAAAAGTAAGTGAAAGTGAACATACAAAGCACATACAAAAGAACATAAACAACGGGATTAAAACCTAACACACTGATGCAAAAGTAAGCAAAGGGACCTGTTAAAATGACCTGAATGGGGGTTGATCACCATGAATAGTAGAAATATAAAAATGTAAAAATGACCATGTTACATCCACGCGGACACGTCCTAATGCGTCCCGCATTAAACCTTATTCGGCCACTAATATCAAGTATACATTATGTAAAGTGTGAACATGAGAGTTTAAATACTACTAATTGTAAAGAAATATAACATCTCTGTATAAAAATGAGGGTATATTACATATCTCTATAATTGAAGTGTTGATTAAGTTAAATGACAGGTAATTTAAATTTCAAAGAATATTTTAAACAAAACCATTTCAGGCTTATATATACGTGTTTAACACCATAAAAGGCAAATTGTAACACCATATAGGCCATATGAGTACACCATTTATAAGTCTATAAGTACACCATGTAAGGCTATGAGTACACCATTTAAGGCTGTAAGTACACCATTTAAGGCTACTAATAACACCATTTAAGGCAATGTTAGGAAACACCATATTGGCTAATATACACCACATAAAGGCTTGAAACACACTATTACAGCTTGAATTACACACCATGTTAGGCTTAAAGTACACCATTATAGGCCTAAAATACACCATGAAATGTTCTGATAGCTAAAGGTTTTTCATTCAAATGAATCAACCCTTTAAATAACATGTTCTTAATGCAAAATATGCTAGAATAGTATGAATAAATGTTTGCAGTTCTTATGAGTTTGTGCAATGACGTAATCAAGTAACTTCTTGTTCCATTGTAGATAAAATGTTGATCTTCTTAAGACCTACATATTGTGTTGTCGAATGGCTGCTCAGTGGTTTTAGTTTTACACTTACTTGGGGCTATATGAGGCAACTACATAGGTACCCGTATAGATATCTCGAGTGTTATTGACTTTTCGGCTTATCTCTACTAATCCACTCGAGTTAAGCCTTTAAGTCAACAAACCGACCCTTCGCTAACCCTAAGGCCCGATAAGAGGCTTCCTAGCCCCCGAAAATCGACCCTATTTCCCTCCCCCACCACGCCCCTACCCAGGGTATAGTTAGGGGTGAAGTCTTCTAGGCCTAACCTAACCCCCCTAAACACTTTGGCGCGGGTCCCATCTCTCTAGCTCTTCCCGTTCGGGAGATAGAAATCGGGCTGTCGGAGCCGCTTTCTTTGATCTCGCCGACACCCCCTCCCTCGCATATTCAGGCAATTTCAGTTATACCCTTACTATACTCCTCCAGTCTTAACCCTAATCGCTATAACGGATAAAATTGGTTTTTACCGAACCTAACATTATAATAAAAAGTAGTAGACTGATTTCACGTCAAAATTCTCTTGATACCACACAATAATTGTAAAATAAAACTCCCTAATAAATGATGTCTTTCATTTGTCGAAATGTAGCCACATCCCCACATTCTAACTTCTGTGAAGTTTTACGTTTTAAATCATATTGTCCGTGCCTGCATGTATTTTTAGCTCAAAATAGTGGCTGAATTTTACGAACTGTACATTCGATATGTACATTAAATCAAAACTTGTAATCATAATAGCATAGTAGTCTACTAACATTTTCATTCAATAATGACATAACAATAATATGTTTTTAATACATAAACAACTATATTCTGATATATTTTGTTTTTGTTTTCAATATTCTTGATGATTAAGTTAACTATCTTATCTAGCATAAAACAATATAACAAAAAATATTTTACACTACATAGTCTCTTTGAAAGGTGCAACTTTGAAAAGTATCAGAATGTGATCTTTGGATTCTGATCTGCATATCCGAAACATAACGCTTGACCAAACCATCGTTCAATTGCGTATTTGAACAGAAGTCTGGTAATATATCTTCTACACTTCTGCCCTTGCACCATTGTACAGAAAAGTATATGGTGTATTGTCCACACACTGATGAATCCAAGCTTTGAAGTCTAACTGAAGTCTAGATAATTTTTCTTTTTAGCTCTTTGCAAATGTTTCGAAATCTGAGTTGTAACAGTAATAAGACGGTGCGTGGCCGTAGGAATCTACAAAATACACGTTTCTTCTGCTATCTCGCTATCTCTGGGTACTATAAAGAGGCACCAATGTTGACCCTCTTGAGATGTTTTGTCTGTATTACTAACTAATATCTCGCACTTTGGAGCATTGTGTAGGACTAAGCTACGTAACTCATCGCTACCAAACACTCCGCAATGTTTATTTTTGGTTAAGTTTTTGCTTTTCAAAATACAATTAATCTCCTCCGTGTTCATTTCGTCGTTAAATCAGTTGAATATAACCTTTCTGGACTTGTCTATTTCGAAGACTGTGGGGAAGACACGAACTGAAATGTTATCTTCGATATTGAGTTTACATGGTTAAGACTTACAAAGTTCAAGCAGTCAACTTATACCAATATTGCGTGGATTAAATGTAGTTTCCCGTCCATAATGACCATTATAATAAACCCATTTTCCCAAAACGCAAAGAACCATATTCTAATTGTGTTTTGTATTTTTATCGACTTTTTCATGTTTACAATAATTTTCACTAATTTAACTATTAATAACAAATTTAATCCGCACATTCTCTTCGGAAGCTGTCAGAAGGTGATCTTTGCCTTTTTATCTGCATATTTGAACAGAAAGTTTAACCAAGCCATCGTTCACTTGGGTATTTGTACTGAAGTCTGATTATATATCTTGTACAG